AGGAGTGCCGCTACTTCTTCTGCTTTCGCTCATGGGGTCACCTTGAAAGAAATAATGAAGAAAGCTGACTGGTCAAATGCCCGAACATTCAAAGCCTTTTACCACAAACCCGTCGTTGAAGATGGAACTTTCGCTTTTTCGGTTTTAGCTCAAGCTTCTTGAAATTTATGTTCTATATCATGACATTATCACGAAAGAGGGCTCTATGTTAAATGAGAAGAAGGTTCGCTTCTCTTTGGTAATCAATTTTTGGTACAGTTCCATTAAAGGAAAATCCTAGGTTACTAGAGATGTATTTACATGATTCACGTGATCGTAGTTTACTTTTAAGCAAGACTGATTTAGTCAAGGAGATCTGAGTAATCCTTTTATGCTTCATTATTTTTGAGGTTCGTGTTATGATTAAAAATTTGATACACCTGCAATTCAAGTGTTGGTTGTTTATTCATGTAAGTTCGTCTTTTTTCAGATTCTGTGATCTGCTCTTTGAATATGCTAACCCTCTGAAGACTTGTACGAATGTTATGTTATAGAATTCCTAAATTATGCAAATAACATGAAGTATAATTAGAATTCTATTAATAATAATGAAGTACAAGTCGAGGAGGGTCCCTCCCTTCAAGATCTTTTGCTGAAGATTCCCTCCCTTCTGGATTTTTGTTATTGTTCAAATCACAGAATCTTCTCTCTTTTTTAATTGGGAGTGTATATATCCTGGCTTCATGTCTGTTTGGACTTTAGCTGTTGTTTGACAGGAGTTATGTTTTGATTGATTGGATATGATCGATTGTAGTTTTTGTTTGATTGATTATGATTGATTGAATGGATTTGATCTATTGTAGCTTTTGTTATGATCAATAATATGATATTTCGGTTTTTGGACAAATATTTACTCTGTTTTGGGGAGAGTTTTTCGTTTGTTGACACCTCTTCCTTCTTTGAAAAGATGGCTACGTGCGCCCACGAACCCTATTTATAAGGTTCCTTTCCTCATTTGAAATTCTTTTCTTTGAATTTCCTTTGTGTGATCTCACTGCCTAGCACCTGGAAATATGCTAACCCTCCTCGACTTGTACTTCATTATTATTAATAGAATTCTAATTATACTTCATGTTATTTGCATAATTTAGGAATTAGTTTCTTCTTCGGGATCGGGTTAGAAGGGGGTTAGGCCGGGGGGGGGGGGTAAGGCTATATTTCAAAGGAGCCAAATTTCTTTTTGTTTTCTTTAATTCAATTCAAAAAAGTTCAGCCACATTCTAGTTATAACAGCCTCTCGTATTATTATGTGGAGCTGGGCGGTTCCAGGATTCTGTAGCAGAGAATGGACGCATTTCCTAGAAATCACTGAAAAGTAATTAAAAGCATTAATGTTTGCGGTTGGGGTTCCTTGCCAAAAATTTGTTTGGTTTGTTTTGTTTTGTTGTATTTGTATATGCATTGTTTTGTTGTTGTTTTGCCTTTTACCCCTCTGTATGGCTTATATTTCCTATTGATGTAATTTTAATGAGAATTTCAGTCCTGGATTTCAGACTTTAAAAACTTTGCATTAAAAGTATCTGTATTATTCTATTTGCTGACCTGTATAGTACATTAAGAGGAATAATCAAAACACACTGATAAAAGCTCCTAGATTTATAAACAAAACATATATAAATTATTTTCTGAAGGATTTACTAACTTATAAATCATTGCAATCTGTAATCGAAATCTGATAGAATCTGTTTCTCTCGGCTTGTTTTCCCTATAGACTATACCTTATTATTTACTGCAGTGCATACCAAATTTATTATCAAAGCGATTTACTCTACAGTTTGCACTAGTAAATAAGAATTTTATGTAGGGATCCTATAAAATACGTATTATGACGTCATTCTTAATCTTATTCATCGGTTAGTAAACGGAGTCATTCAGCCGGCTAAACGCCAGAGTACTCTATACAAACAAAGTAGCCTACATTATCCAATCTTTAGAAGTTGTAATTGTCTCATAAATCCTTGGTAGTATAGTGGTGAGTATCTCCGCCTGTCACGCGGAAGACCGGGGTTCGATTCCCCGCCAAGGAGAACTACATTTTGCTGTTATAAATTTGTTTTTTAATATAGTTATCGTCTATTTTCATGTCCGCATAATTATATTGATGACATAATTATTATAAGCAAATTTATATGGCTGTTTAGATTTTTGTATGCCCCTTTCATAATTATTAACACTGGTATCTTTGCCGTTTGGAAGATGAAGGCATAATGTTATGCTGTCGTTTATTTGATTTTTTTTTCCCTTTAATCCCAGATAATTATCTTACTAATATTTTAGATTTCCGACGGAAAGCGAGGAGAGGAGGGAGAATGGAGGTGTAGAATAGAAGACAGAGATAGCCGGAAAAAGAAAGAGAGAGAGAGGGGAAGGAAAGGGGTGGGTCAAACAACGGGAAAGGGAGAAAGAAGAGCTAGAGAGCAATGAGGGAGTTGTAGACAGAGGGAGAGATTGAGAAGTGAGAGAGAGAGAGAGAGAGAGAGAACAACAACAAAAATAGAGGGAAAGGTAAAATGGAAGAGAATCAAAGAGAGAGAGAGAGAGAGAGAGAGAGAGGAGGAGGAAGAGAGGGGGAGACGGTACGGGGTTCGGGTGAAGAAATGAAAAGAAATCGCCGCCCCTGGGTAAGAGAGACGGAAAGTGAGGAAGATGGATAAACAAGGAGGGAACATAGGTATATAGAAAGAAGAGAGAGAGAGGGGAGAGAGAGAGAGAGAGAGAGAGAGAGAGAGAGGAGAGAGAGAGAGAGAGGGAGGCAGGCAGATTCCACGCCCATGCCATGCATGACGCGCGACATCATCAACAAGCAGGGTTGTTCAACGATCTTATAGAAGAAGCAATCACTATCAGCGACTGGATCATCATCCTCAGCAGCAGTGACCAAACCAGCAGATAATCATCGACACCTTCAACGTACAAAGTCATCAGAAGATTGATTTTATTTTAATGTGTTTGGTGGATTATCAAATTGCCAATTCAATTTTCCCAACACGATGTACACCTTCAGTGTCTTCAAGCTATTGTTCATCCTGATTTCCTTGGCAGGTACATTATTTACGCATCATTTTGTACTGTTATTGCATTTTAATTTGATCATTGTTCGGGTATAATTTCTCTTTTCTCTTTTAGAAAAGGCAATACATCCTTTTTAATTGTAATATTGCTTAAATTATATCGAGTCATCAACTGTTTCATATTTTGGAAATATCTCGCCGTTGTCATAGTAGGAGCGTTCTAGGAAGAACCTGATAGGAATCCTACTACCATATCACACACAATACACTGATAACTATTGTTTCGCTGCCAACCTAAACATATTGTAATTGTATCGTTCCACGTCATTAATATGCAAAATGTTGTGATGATAATAATTATGGTAACGAATAAGTTTAATAATTATGTCTGTACGATATTTAGTTGATTTCCATATAGTTTGCGTTTTATTCTGCTGATTATTTGGGGGAATAATTATTACATACAGAGGTTCGAATGTCTTCAGCAGAAGGAAGGTTATTCAACAGTTTTGATATAACGAAAAGGACTTGGACGGATGCTGTGGCTTACTGCAAGCAATTGAATGGGTCTTACCAACTCATTGGGATCCCTGATTATACTGGCACTCAAAGAGCTTACATCACATCAGTCCTGTAAGTCTACATCCACTCAGGCGCGTGCACAGGGGGGGGGGGTTAAACCCCCCCCCCTTTGGTATTTTTCTGTGTGTAAACCCCCTTAACCCCCCTAACCCCCCCTTTTGATTTTTTTCCCATGGCTGACCTAAAAAAGCTGACCTTACTCCCCCCCCCCCCCCCCCCACAACGGAGAAAAATGTCGAATTTTCAAATTTTGAGACCAAAAAAAAAAAAAGTGTCCTCTTACCCCCCCCCCCCCCCCCCCCCCCACTTATTCAGCGGCTGGCTGAGTTGTTGCGAAAATTTAGGGCCGATTTATAAATGTTAACCCCCCCCCCCCCTTGAAAAAATCCTGCGTATCCGCCTGCATCCAGCAAAAGTCTAGGGTTTGATTTGATTTATTTCCATGTCAATGTACGTATTTCTTTTTTATTGTATTCATTGAATTTATTTCTCAAAACGTTTATATATGTACATGATTATCGATTTAATCATTAACACAGAACGATGTCATAAAATAATGTGTCTATTAACAAAAAAAAATAAAAAATAAAAAAGGGATAATAAGTACCTGCAGCGTGCACGACTTACCAATTTTTGGTCAAACATATTACAAAAATAGTAATAAATAATAGTGAATTTAAAAATGGTAAACCTATATGAATAATTTATAGATTTTCTTTAGGCTGTTTAAATATATAAAAAATAAAGATTCCCTTCCTATATAATCGTTTGTTCAGGTGACCCCTCACTTGTGCATCTTTTTTTAGCTAATATTATTTATTGTACCTTTACATACTTGGAAATTTTGTACCACAACAAAGTGGCTTCTTTTCCCCTCGTCTGCTTCACTTCTCGCAAAATTGTTAAAATCAGGATGATTCCTGGCAACGAGATGAGCAAATATATAGATTTTAATCTACTGTATATTGATTACTAAATAATATTTTTGCCATAATAAAAGTGTCTTTTTTTTTTGCTCGCTCGCAATATTTTGGGTTCCGGAAAGTATATTTTCGGACAAGAAGTCCTCACGGCTCTCACGCGAAAATGCGCCTTAACGTTTATGTGTGCGAGAGATAGGAAAAAAACCTCTTTGAAGAATTTGGTATCAGTGAGACGTGAAACTTTTCGTGTTTCATAACGTATAAATTAATACTAATATATAGGAGTCTAAAAAGATGAAGTCAAGCTACCCGAGAACCATCTAAATTATATTTAAAATATCGAAATCATATATTAATGAAAACGTCTATGTTGTTAACTAAAAAATTATATTCGCTTGCTTGTCTGAACATGTTATGCTTTTCCGTTACAACATAGAGCTTTAAAAATATATATTTCGTTCTCAGGTACAGTTCGGGTGATCAATCTGGATTCATCTGGTTCAATTGCCATCTGTTACAGAATTCCTCTTTAAACACAGAATACATTAAGTGTACAAAAGGATCAGGTTCGGTGGTCTATGAGGAGAGTACAGTATTTGGTAAGTTATTTGAAATTATCATCTTTCTTTATATTTGTTACTCAATATAGATTTATCTGCAATTTCGTAGATGACCGATCAACATTCCCACAACTATCATCATCTTCATGTTTTCCTTCTCCTACTTCTTTAATTCATTTTTAAATCTCCTTCTACTACTACTACTGAGGCTATTTTCGTTATTGCTAATTGGACTTTCCCTTTTCCACTTCTACCCCCTTGATCCTCCGAAAATCGAGCACGTGGTGTACAACAAACAATGTTCACTCACATCGAACTCGAAGTAGACCTATATAAATTATGTTCCATCAAATCAATCTCAATTAAGATCCATATCTCTGTATAATCTTCCTGGTTCAATATTTCCTCACACTCGTTTCCTTCAGGCGTCTCATATTAAGCTATCAAATTAGGATGCTGTCATTCTATACAAAACTGATCTTCGATAATATATATCGTAGGCGTCAGTACCAAGAAGTGCGAGCCGTCTATGATGAATTGCATGACGTGTGATATTACCGTCGTTCTTTATTCGAACCTTTCATATTATTGGTATAAAACAGCGACTATTGCCTTCAAATCTTGTTTGCTCTGAAAGGCGTCTAATACTGCATCGTCAATTACCCAGGTTCGGCAGATCATAAGTCTTTTGTTGCATGATTTGACAGTTGATTATACATGTCACCAAATCACACTTTCTTCTTCTGCAAATATTTCATTTCCGCCGTTGATCAAATCCTATATAATCTACATGCCCAAAACGGTAATCGATCATGTAATTATAAATAAGCCTAAACCGGTGTACCATATTTGATTTAAAAAGCTAATTTACTGCGACGAAGAGAAATGGATCGTGGCATTCATCGAGTTGTACTGTAAGGCCAATTGGATTTGTATATTATATTATTGCAAGGTTATACCCAATATTACTCTTTCTGACAAAACAAAAATATTGTTTCCCTCCTCGATCGAAGAAAATAAAATGTCATTGAAATTTTTAAAGAAATGACAAAAATCGTTTTTATTGCTATTGGAAGTAGTCATGGCAATGATCAAAATCTGCCTTTGATTTTGAGTACTGGTATACTTTCTCACACATTTATATACACATGTAGATCATAATTATAATGAACATACTCATTCCTTTCTACGACATGGAGCAGATATTTCGATGATGCCGTGTATTTGAATTATATTTTATGTTTCAAATCATCTTTCTATGTGTGGAAGCTGATGAAGGTCTTGGAAATGTCCAGAACAACAATTCATGTCTGGCCTACAATAGAGCTGAGCTTGCTGAGTTGGCTGAGGGCAATAGAAGATTTACACTGAAAGACTGCTCTGATGAAGGCATCGTCCAATGTATATCTGGTATGTAAATGGTTAAATGAGGTGCTCGACATCATTTTGCTCCAGCGACAATAGCTTCAGAATTTAGTTCGTGAGAGATATATAGGGTTACAGTTTGGGTTTCATTGTAGGTTTAGTGTTAGATATAGTGTTTGTTCCCTATATGCAGGGTTAAGGTTCTGGAGAATTTGGTATTAAGTGTAGGAGATTGACCGAAGTTCTCACCAGAGCATGTGACGTGTTCTACAACCCTTTAAAGCCCCACTGTCCTACGTGTAGCTACTTTCTCCCTCTCTATAGAAAACTTCCCCAATCGGTGCCTGTTGGTCCCCCATGATCCTCTTTTTCTTATGTTAGTTGAGAGCCGAGTTAATGAGATAGCCACCTGTCAGTGACCTCGCTGTGTGGTCTAATCCCTTCTGGCCCAGTAGTAATGACGGTCTCTCTCAAGAATAAAGAAAATAATAATAAAATCTAGTAATCAGGAACAATAGGGGCAATTTAACATCTTCCATTACTCTCTGTTCACTTTGTTGAACCTACCTCTAGCCAAAGGCCTATCAGAAATATGTGACATATGAAATAATAAGTATATAGATTGTAAATTTATCATTGTTCATCTTTATATAAAGTAAATAGACGCCCAAGTAATTCAAAATGCAACCTCAATTGACCATCTATCTTATTTCCTATTTCACATCAATCATGTACGTACCACAAAACAACACGACAGATGAGTCTAGCAGTGGATCCCAGGCCACTGATATTCCTCAAGACACCACTTCATTCACGTTCCAGGAATCGTCAGAAGCAGTAACTACGGTCTCATCATCACTCAAAACTATCAACACACAGTCCTCTCCATCCTTGATGTCTGGTCTAACCAATCCAAGCTCTACAGATGATCAAAGTAAGAAAATAGAGTGCCTCAGCATGCAGGGGCAGGTCCGAGGGGGCGGTCACAGGGTGTCAGTCAATAAAACGTCTTCCAAATCTGATGATTTTAATATTATTATTATTTAACTTGTTTTATTTCTTAGCCTGCTTGCTTGTGAGATTTTTTTGTGGAAGTAGACTCTTGTTCACTCTTTACACAATCATGTTACTGCCCCCTGCTTAGTTCCTGTCTCAAATAATCTTTTATCATCAAGTTCTTCTTATATGATATTACAATGATATTTTATATCTTTTAAAAGCTTGGGAGTTGGTAATAGTTTTTAACTAAACACCATTGTATAATTCTTCCCCTACTCCGTACAGCGACTATGACAACAGATCACGTAACATCACAAAAGCAGACATCAGATCCTCCAGACCTTCCGGATGCTACCAGCGTGATTGGACCCCAAGCAACAAACATTAGCCCAACAAGAGACTTCCTTTCATCTACACTTCAAGAGTCAACAGAAGCAGTTGCTTCAGGAGTATCTTCAACTGTGAACACGTCACCTGGATCAACACGGTCAGCAACAACTCCATCGATCTCCGGACTTACCTCTGCAGAAAGCACAGAGGATGGAGATGATCCTGTTCCTTCACAGGGATCCCCCACTGTCCTGAGAGGAACCTCTATCAGTTCAACAACTGCAGAAAAAGAGTCGTCAACTGCCCCTCAAGGATCAGAAAGTCCCCCCTCATCAACCACCACATCATCGAGAGTTCGACCTCCAAACTTGGTGTCCACCATCTTCAAGAAGAACGTCTCACAGAAGCAAGGTTCATGTGGTACGGGTGATGGCTTTCCGGTCCGGTCTGTTCTTCGGTGTGCTGCTGCTTGCTTAGGAGCCACTGAGCATCCATGCCAGGGGTATGATGTGAATCGCAACAGTGATGGAGGACTAGAGTGTGTGCTCAATACTGGCTCTGGCCATGCCCATTCTGAGTGTGATTTCTTTAAGTACATGTAATTCAACAGGAAGAAAGGAGTATAACTATTCATAGGAAATATATAGTGAAAGAAGGTTATCAGAAAATTTACATACCGGTAAGCATGGTACAGGAGAAAGTTTCTTCAATCCAGTCTGGCCTGCTTTATGTAGTTCAAGAGGAAGCACATGATACAACTATATTTCAAAAATACATAGTGAATTAACGTTATAGGAAAATGTACGTAGAGAAGTTAACTGTTTAGACGTCAGTGAATAAGAATGCTACATGTATTACTTTGATGCAAGCATTGTAATATTAGTACTTTCATCACTTGTATAGGTCAAATTTACCTACAAGCCAAACCAATGAGGCCTGTTACAAACCTTATCAATTAAACAGAAGAGACTGAGAAAAAAAATCAGCAAATGCAAATGATTAGATATAAGAACAATTAACTTTATTTTTAAAAATTTCGCATTTGATTTCAGTGCAATTATCTGAGAGCATACAGCAGACAATGTTTACATGTTGGATTACTGTTATTAGAGACCCAGCCACAAGATAAATCCTGATCTCGAGGGATAATCCTTTCCCATACATTTAAGTCATTGGCCTTATCAAGCTAGCTACTGTGTCGACACTGACACATTCATGTTAGACCAGTCTGTGTATGTTAACACCTTCACACTATTCATAACATTAATCTGAGCTTCTAGACCATGTTATACCTCGATCACACTACCAAACTGACAACAAACTAACTCCAAACTGTCCAATAACAGAGTTACTTGGTGAAATGTCATTTCTTGTTGTGGGCAGTCTGGTGTGGTATAACCGAGGTACTACTCCAATGGATCTATCTTAAAGACCCGTGCATAACATAGTTGTGTCATCACACATTCACGCAAGATGAACCCCTCCCTTATTAAAAGCAGTTCAACTTGTTTAGCTTTATCCTGTATATAAGATAGATTCTATGTACAGTGGAACCTCATTATAACTGACTCTTTAGAGTTGAAGATATTACCTTGTTATATCGTACCTTGTTTTATCAGAGCAAAAAATACAATAAAATATAAATTTAAACAGTGGGACCTGCAAAATTAACTTGTTATAATGTGAGTGTGTTTTAACACTGTTCTTTAAAAACGAGGTTTGCCTGTATTACATTATTCCTCACATAACATATATACACACAACTACAGGCAATGATAATCTGCTTTTTAAAACATTAAAATCAACATACAATTGAAGTACATTTATGTAGTTATGTAGCCATTAGCGCGAGTACATACATTTCTCACTATATAATCTATAATACAAAATCTTTGGCATGCACATAAGTCAAAGCTGCTTATTTGCATGATGATCATTTCTTTATAAACACACATTGTTTGCGTTCTACATAGTTCAATGGGTCTTACTTTTTGGTGGAATTATTCACTTATGCTTTGTTAAGAATATACTGCACTCCACTGTACCAAGCTATATCTCTCTGACTGTAGCGTATGAGATGGGCATGGCATTTAAAAATTCTGTTATGTGCATACTTATATTAAAAAGACACCATTTTGTTTCATTACTTTAAAACTTAATAGTATGGATATATTCCACTGGAAATACTCATAAGTCATGAATGTTGCAGTATAATTTATGTCAAGTATACCATTTTCAAAATAATTGTCATTATCTTAAACATTCTGGATCATAACATATCATAATATATCATAAAAGGGATATTATGTGCATCATTTCCAATTTATCAAGAGAAAAGTCAAATCTCTTGACTCATACTTGGGACCAAACGCCATCTACTAATCATGCTCTATAGCTGAAAATAATGATCAAATTTCAAATTTATTCATCAAAGTAAACTGCTTTTTTCACTTAAGTTTTTCAATAAATTGAATCCGGAAGGGAAAGAGCATTAAAATGCCCCTACCATAATATTTCTTCAAATGTCTAGTCTACCCCTTGTAAAGGGTTTTCATTTTCCTCAAGATTTTTATTTTTAGAGGGGCTACCCCCTCTACCCATTCACAACATTCTTTGCAACATATCCAGAGAGGGCAAGATATCCGATCATGGAAACAAATCAAGGGCCTCATTTATTTCATCTTATTCATGGCACTTGAAGTCAATCATGCATAAACATGATAATCACGATTATCAAGGATGATTACAAAAATATAATGATGATTATGATGGAGCCAATGATGATTATGGCACCAGTACAATCCTGCCTTGGGCTGACTTGGTTTCGATGACTTCACGATGTGCAGCTGGAGCCTCTTCCAGGGGATAGTTCTTGTATACCACTGGTTTGATCCATCCTCCTTTAATACCAGCATGAACGGCAGCTGCTTGGTTCTCTCTCTCCTCCTGAAACAACGATCATCATTCAAAGGTACGCATTATTACATTCCACATATTATTCAGATGGCAATCTCCCAAATGACTAAAGAAATATTTTCATAACAATGTCATACACCTTTTGACAATTTTTGAAAAAACTAATTATTCATTTTCAAATATAGTAGGCTTATTAAATCATTGATTTTTCAAATAGAGGTCAATATGCTGTAGTCAAAATTATTTTGCTCATAAGTGTTGCTGAATTTTATTTACATACAACATACACTGTATAGTAAGTACACTTAACTTTATCTTTATTAATGTTACCAATGATTTGAAATGAATTCTGTGCAATTCTCCATAAAAATATTCAAAGACTACCTGTAAGTTTATACAGTAGGCTTGCAGGTGCACCATGTGAGAGAGAGAAAGGATTGAGGAGTCCTGAAAAGGACTGTAAGTTATCAACACAGACCTCGTTAGGGTAAACAAACTGCCAAAATTCAGAAGTTTGATGATGATTTTTAAATGTGAGGACCCCATGATTGGTAAGTCGCAAATGTATTCTTCGACTCTTTTTACAGTATATAAAAGATATAATGATTGCTTTAAAATTTGAGGCATGCTGTTTTTATAAGCTCTCAGGGACGTAACATCACCCCTCGGCACACCTCGGGGTGATAGCAGGATGTAATATCCCCTTGAACCTATAAAACCAACTGTGCCTCTCATAGCAGTCATTATATCTATATAATATCATCACTTACTTGCGTTGATGACATTAACATTACTCCTACTACAGAGCTCTCTTTGGCCATCACAAAGCGGGGAGAAATCTCTATGTTTCCACGGCAACCAACAATCTGTACAATACACAAACCGACAAAAAATATTTAATATCATGTCCTAATAACTTACATGTGAATTAAGGAATAGCATGACACAACATATAGAAGTCTCCTTACTCATCGCTTCACGAGGGAGACGTCAATGGTTCCTCGACTACCAACAGTCTTAAGTTTTCTTTTAAATCCATTGAAGAAAAAAAAAATTAATAATATACAATAAAAAGATAATCATAAAGAGAAATCAGAAGAAGAAGAAGAAGGATTATTATTAGAAGAGGGAGGAGGATAATAATACAAGAGGTAGAAAGAGGAAAAGGAGAATGAGAAGGATGACAGTAAAAATAATAATAACAATAAGAAGCAGAGTATTTGAATATGATTTATAGATATGAATTTATTTTGCATTCTTTCATCTTAAAATAGTATTTGCACCTTTGACTGAGAGGCAGCTTAAGGCACTATACAACAAACCGATAGCAACAAAGTTTTTATTATTGAAAGAAAACAATAGGTCTCAAAGAGAAAGGTAAGCAATATAAAACTTAATGACTTTACATATTGATAGAGAGAGAAAGAGAGAGAGAAGACTCACTGCAACAGTGCCTCCTTGGGCCAACATCTCCAAGTCTTTCTGAAGATTCACGTTCGCAAGCATCTCCACAATCACGTCTACTCCTTTGCCATCAGTGGCAGCCTGGTAAGAAAAAAAACAAGAAAAATCATGCCATCTCATTTTACCAATTATATACCATCTCTGAATTAGGGTATAAGGTTGTGTGTTTATTGACTACCAAAGTATGGTGATCGCCATGTTCATCACCAATGTAATCTTGCTCAAATTGGATTTTGAAATGTTTAAAGGTCAAATTGAAGCCAAAAACAAGTTCATTTTAGTAAAAGTATAAACAATGGAAAGTGAATTATCTTAATGATATAAATGCAACTGACTGCTGAAGACAAACTGCCAACTTATTAACTGATTCATTAAAAACCTTGGTGTCATGAGTACACTAATATTAATAAACACTTTTATGAATATTGATTTAACATTGACTTACAAATATATTGTTTCAAGAAACTCATTTGCTCACACCTTTGAAAGGTATTAGTACTATAACATCCAGTATGTAGCGAAATAACTTCCAGAAACGTGAAGAAAACAAAATTGGTTAGGATGTACAGTGAAAAATAGGTGTATTATAGACAAAAAAGTTTGCAATATACTGTATGTTATACCACCTATTGAAAATAGAAAGAATCTAATCTAATTACCATGATTTCCTTGATATAGTCTTCCTCTCTATGATTAAAGACTTGATGAGCTCCTTCTGTCTTGATTAGTTCAAGGCCCTGTGCCGAGCCAGCTGTGCCGAGTACCTTCACACCATACTGACGACAAAACTGTAAAGCAGCTATCCCCACCTATCCAAAGAGAGAGAGAGAGAGAGAGAGAGAGGGGGAGAGAGTAATGGACAGAAACAGAATGTATGAGACTACACAATCTCTTATACCCATCCTTAACCTGGGGAAAGGTGATCCGTATCTGAGATATCTTTACTCTGGGCCTTACAATTGCATTTAGGTTTGGTTAAGGGTACAAAAATATGCTAGCAGCAGACTTCACCAGACTGGAAAAAGAAGGATTTGGTGTATAGGTGGGTCCAGGGTTGAAATTAAGAATTCAGTTAGCATAGAAAATTGACTTCAAAGGAATTGCCACTGGAGAAATTTGTGACACAAAGGTAAAAACTGTATTTGATTGAGATAGTGTATACCTTACAACTATACTTGTTAGAGAATACACTTGCACAATGACTTCAATAAGCACAAGTCAAATCCATTTTCTTTTTCATTATGGTGAAACACTTGCAACATGAATTCAGAGAAGTTAAGCTAATCATTGAAAATAGAAATGCCGATTTAAAGTTAGTGTACGACTGAAACAAGATTCTACAATTCATTTGCAATTTGCTTTACTAGTCATTTTGCAGCCCATTAGCCCCTTGGCTGATTTTTTAATTCTTTCCTTATGACCATTTAAAAAATATAAAACTGGAAACTGATAAAAAAATGCTTGCTTTTTGAGCCCAATTTCACCCTGCATCAAATGACAAGTGGGAGGCATTTTATAGTGGTTCAAAGTACAGGCTTCTACTGACTCAAATATCAACAGTATACCAAACTTTGGACTTGATGAAGTAGAAAGATGTTTGTACTTTGGTGTGATGAATGACTATGCAAAAAGTATTTTGAGCATCCAAATGAGAAAGAAAAAACTATAAGAGCTAGGAGACGTACAGAAATATAGGAAGTAAAGCCGTAATGAGAGAATGAGGCAGGCATGTTGGCGCTGGGGGGGGGGGGGGGGGAGAGAAAAAGATGGATAATGAGAGGGAGACGAAGGGGAGAGGGGATGTGTGAGAGAAAGAGAAAGAGAAAGAAAGAGAAAGAAAGAGAGACAGGCAGGAAGGGACAGGCAGAAATGATGAGCAAGGGGAGAGAGATTATTAAAAAAAATGAAGAGAGACATGTAGGTACTTATAACTTAGAGGATTACACATTAACTTTTCAAATGAATACTTACTGAACCACTTGCTCCATGGATCAGCACAGTATGTCTGGGCTGTGTATGGCATCTGTGTGTACAATATTAATGTGTGTGTACAATGTTAATATTGACATAATATATGTCTAGTCATTTCTAGCCTACTTCAATTGATCTCATGTTGGATAAGGCAAATATCCCCTGCCTATTTCGATAGCAGTCAGCATAACCTGCCAATACATAAAGGCTTCTTTCTAAACAGATAAAGGGATACATATGGCTAATTAACATTAGCATCTTAACATTTCTAAGCAATTAAAACAGTTGTATAACGATGAGAATTTGTAATAGTCATGAAAGTTGTTGAATTGTTCATATCTAAAGAAAATGGCTTTAAATATAAGACAGTTTTAAATCTTATCATATCAATGTTTGGTCATGAAAATATAACCTCCTTCACCTTTTTTAAACTTCTTTTCCACAATTATGTTTAAAAGCTAAATAGTACCTGTACAGTTTTATATTAACCCTTACTGTACTGGGGGGGGGGGGGGGGCCTGGGAGGCCCCCCTCGACATTTTCGGAGTTTGCGCCGCAACCGCTTGGAATTTTGAATTGTCGTTTCATGACTTTTTTCCCTCAAGTCTCACGCACATTTTGATACCATTTTCGTCGAAATCGGATATACCTGTAAGGCGTTACATAACAATTAGTATGCGCATGTCATCAAAAAAAAAAAAAAAAAAAAATTGCATCAAAATTTGCATAAATTATCATTATTAATTACATTAAATTAACTTTTTTGAGTTAAAAAAGAAGTTTCATATGAATAATGAGTTTCAACATTCAAAAAGTGGAGTTTGACACGTTTTCTGTAAAATGCATAAAATTAGCATTTTTGCATAATTAATTAGGCTAACGACAAAAATTTGCATATTCGGAAAAAACTAATTATACCATCTTGTTCCTTACGTAAATATCTACAAATGAGCAAATTTTTGTGTTCATCAGACAATCGGCGGCCGAGATCATAGGGGGGGGGGGGGCCTCCCAGGCCCCCCCCCCCCCCCCCCCCCCCCCAGTCAGTGGGTGCTCAAAATAGCCCAGTACAGTAAGGGTTAAAAAGAACTGCTCTATGATTGTCCTCATAATTAAAATCTATGGTCAATTAAAGTTAATATTATAGAAAACTTGCAATCAAAACAAAACTTACTTTTGGAATAAAGCTCGATAAGCAGTGAAGTAAGGCACTCCCAGTGCGGCTCCTTGCTTGAAGTCTACATTTGCGGGAAGATGAAAGACATCCTTTTCTTCTACCAGGGTGTATTCTGCATAGGTTCCTGGAAGTCCTGGCCCAGATTTACATACATACACCCTGTCACCAGGCTGAAAAGTTACAAGATGAACAAAAACATAATGTCAGTATCCACCATTGATCTGTATGGCCTACCATTCATCGTTTTCTGTTAATCTGTCACAACTGAAGCAGTGAAAAAGCTACTGACATTTACAACCATAGCACTTGTAAGTCTATAAGTATTAGGATATACTGGACAATACAAAGCTTGAAAAAAATCACTTAAGTTAGACAAAAGCCTAAAGAGTGTCTGTAGTTGAATTTATTAAATGTTATCATACTTACTTTGTATTTTTTGACATTGGGTCCTATCCCTTCCACAGTTCCAGCAGCATCTGCTCCGGGGGTGTATGGGAGTGAGGGAAGGGATGCTCTGTTACCAGATCTAATGTAGGTATCCACCGGGTTAACACCTGCTGCTCCAACCTTTACCAATACCTGCACGAAAAAGGTACACAAATCTGTTATTTTCTGTTAAAATAGATCTTTGTGAATATGCCCTATTCACTTATAATATTAAGTGGAGGTGTCATGGTATAATAATGAAAACAAAAACAATAATAATAACATTGGATATTTTTATAGCATGTGGAGGTGTCATGGTATAATAGTTCATTCACTTGACCGTCAAGTCTCAATCCTAGGGTTTATGGTTTAAATCTCAGTCTGACACTAATCCTTTGGTGATCTAATCTTGCTCCCGAGTATTCTCCAACTAGGTTTTAAAGGCTGAGAGGCTGAGAATTATCAGGTTAATAATAATTGCAGGAAGAACAACATTGCTGATGAGGCATTCCTGTGTAACAATATTATTTTATTTGCACTGGTCATTCAATGGCAATGACGAATTCAAGTTTTACAGTATGTTAAACTGGATACAAAAATAATTCTCTCTCTAATTTAACAATTAAGTTCATGATGAAGATGATTGAAAAAAAACACATTAAAAAATGGGTAGTGGTAGATAATGTAGTGGTAGTGATGATGAGGAGGAAGAGGAGGAGGATGGTGATGATGAATTGAATAAACTAACTAGTACTAATTCAAACTAGACGGATCTTAGACTGCGTGCAGTCGAAAATGATGCCTCCGCCATAGCGGGATTTTATTTATAAACCAAAACAGAAGCAATTTCTAAAATTCAAGTTTGATTGTAATCCATTACTAGGTTCTCAGAATATCGTGATTACAAGCTATTTTTCAAATACATGTATGACCCTTTGATCTTTAACCTCATGACCCTTTAATCTTATCAGTTCATTGCCATTGGCTCTACAAGATACCGGTATATGTCCTGTGTTTGATAGTAATCCATCCGTCTGTTCTAATGATGCATTCACAAGCTATTTTTGTACACATAATGAGCCCAATGACCTTTGACCTCCTGACACCCAAATCTAATCAGTTCATTGGCTCCGCATAAAGTCTGCAAGATACATACCCAAATTTGGCGGGAATCCATTAATCGGTTCTTGAGTTACATAATGAGACGAACAACCTGAAAACATTTATGCCTCCGGCTACTAGTACATGTACATGGCGGGGGCATAATAAAAACAAATGAATACTAATTTAGCCAGGCCTAGATCTAGGCCTTAAGGTATATTTTCATAACGATTCTCATCTCAATTTCTCAAACTTTCATTTATCATAAATTGCCATGATTCCCACCTGACTGGATGACGGCTCAGGAATCGCTAAACCAGATTCCACCTTCATGACGTCCGACGCTCCGAACTTGGCAACTCGTATGGCCCTCATGACACTGGCTGCTGCTCTCCCTCCACTCATAACGTTACAGAAATTAAGAAATAGTTTCTCAGGATTCTGGGTCACAGGACTATATAGAATAAAATAATGAAAAGAAAATGAATGAAAAAAGGTTATCAAAATTAATTAAAAACAATTTTTTTTCCTGAATTTCATATTTATTAATGATGTAGAGGACTAGGCCTAGGTTTGTGTGTCCAGATGCTAAACAAAAATAAAGCTGTCAAGCACTTTTGCTTGGCTTTGAGTTCACCAAAAATAATGCATCAAATAGCACTTACAATTTTAAAGGATACCTCACCTCAAGAAATAATTAACTTATTCTGAGAGATTTATTATATTCATGCCCATACATTAAAAGATACAGTTCTGGTCATGCAATTGCATTGTGAAAGAAACAGTGAGGAATCGATCAGAACAGTTTGATCATCTAGCATATAGGAGTGTATACTGCAAGGTTCAAGAATCATCAAATTGATAAGACATTTGGCTCAGTCTTGGTAAAGTTACAAGCACTGTACACAGAAAGATGTATATTGGGCTACACGGACATGTAGCAAAAAGATCTGTCCCGATTTTTATGTTGTTACATGCCATATTTAGAATGGCTGAAAGCATTTGAAGAGCCATGCTTTTCAGGGAACATTTTTTATCTGAAGTTCTTCCACACTTTTATAATAACAATAATAACGCTCACAAATTATTGTTCACCTCTTCCCAGAACTCAACAGTCTCTTTAATCTACAACTTACAAGATTCCCCACCAAAATATATATGAGAGGCATAAAGCAAGAATATACAGTTTCTCAGCGCGGCATTGGCATTGCCGATTATGTGATGTACTTAAACTAGTCGATTATCAAGAAAATTAATGTACTCAAATTTAATATGGATGCTTCCTAAATCCTAGGTGTGTGTGTGGTGATGAAGCATTTCATTCACCTGCTAATTGTTGCACGAAACTGTTGATTACTGTAAGCTTGGCTACACCCAGCATTACGAGATATTGACTTGAGCTTGTTTCCGATGGTGTTAATTCCAAGTGGGCTGTTGAAATACCAAGAAGTTCCATCCTTAGGAGCTTCTGGTTTGGGTCTTTGCCAGAGCCAGGGGCAAATTGGGTTTACACTTAGTTTACTGACGTAAGTCTTGAATGCTCTTATGGGACATGAAGTACTGTTCGGAATTTCATACATCCGGCTACTGGCACTCTTTGACACTTCATCTTGACCTTCTCTACTATTCTGTGTTGGAGGATAGTCTTTCTCCTTCAAGTTCAGGTAAGAAAGGCCGCTGTTGACGTCTACCTCAATCGTAAAATCACCCGGCTTCATCCCACGAACGTTCTCCCTACCACAGTAGCGGAAATAGGTCATGATATCGACAAAAACTCTATTTTGCAACCCTTTCGGTGTTGTCATGTCCAGTTCCTCAGAGTTATGGATCTTTTGCATGTCCATTGGGGTGATCCGCGGTTTGTGCCGAACACAATCTTTTCCCTGTTTCTTCAAACTCACCAATATGGCCTTAAACGTGCGATTCGATTGAGGGAATTTCCCCTTGTCTAAAATATCCAAGCGGTGCTCGGTCCAATAATGTCGTTGAACTCCGTATTTAAGAGTCTGCATAGTTCTTTTTTTGTAACTGGTCCCATCCTCTTTTCGAATCCCGGCGTAAAACTTGCTCAGAAACGAATCAAGATCAGACGGATCGTCAAGCCCGCTCTCTAAATTTGTGTTCGAATACTTTGCAAATCCTAGTAATTTGTCTCTTGCGAATTTTAAGGACTTCTTGGTGGCGTTATTAGTAATACTATCCATCTGGCCCACCAGGTCAGCGAGTTCTTCGTCCGTGGGGACATGAAACGACTTATTCGCCATTTTCGAGATTTCAGCTGCGCTTGGCAGTTGCACTTCGTTTTCAAGCATTATGGATGCAATGCAATGCACGCATGCTATAACGCACGGCCCAGCGTGCGATAGCGATGAATGCAGTACACGCGAGGCTTCTTTAGATTGGTACTATCTGTGCAACAAGCCGCTTGCGGAGTTCACGTGCGCACCATCTGAAGAAACCGAGCGGACACTGCATTTAAATTACGCACAACAGGGTCAATGCGTTCGCAGGACCAAAATCCAATAATTGAAACCCGCAGTTGAAATCTCCAATTGCATTTTTATTTGTCTAAACGCTGCACTCTCGGGCCCTCCTAAAAGTTTGTTGCAGTCTTTAGATCAGTATTTGCTATACACTTATTTTTTTCCTCACCTTTTCAATTTCAGAGGGGGGGGGGGGGGGGGGGGACGACCCTCTAAAAAAATGAGGGGGACGTGTCCCCCCCCCCCCGTCCCCCGGGATCGCCGCCCCTGTGATATGCCGAAGTAATTTGTCTGGGCCTTACTGTTTTAGATTGAATCTATATGGCCAAGACTGGCATATGGGTTTATCCGATACTGAAAATAATTGAAAAAACTCCATTTTATACTTATAGAAGGTTTTTAAAACTATTGTATGCCATTTTAACTTGATAATAGCTGACACCCTTTTAAATGTGGGAGCTTACTCTTCATGCTCTCGAGGCCGCCATCGATGTCAAGCTTACCGCTCATGATGGCGGTCTCCTGCGTTTTTTGTATTTTTTTCTCACCTTTTCAATCAGGGGGGACGACCCCCCCCCCCTTAAAAAAATAAGGGGGGGCGTGTCCCCCCCCCCCCCTCCCGTCTAGCCGGGATCGCCGCCCTTGTACTCACATGCCAAAGTAATTTTGTCTGGGCCTTACTGTTTTAGTTTGAATCTATATGACCCAGACCGGAATATGGGTTTATCCACACTATATACAGAAAATAATTGGACAAAATCCCTTTTATACAAGGCTTTTGAAACTATCGTATGCCATTTTAACTTGATAATAGCCGACACCCTTTTAAAGGTGGGAGCTTACTCTTCATTCTCTCGAGGCCGCCATCGATGTCAAGCTTACCGCTTATGATGGCGGTCTCCTGCGTTTTCTGTAATTTATCTTTTTTTTATTGAAAAAATATTTGTGTTTGTATGCATCGTATTTAATGTACTTAAAAGTTCATAATTATTTATATAGAATAAATATTAAGAAATAATTTTTACTTAACGTATATGATTATGTTCTATTTTGAAAATGTAGAAATAAAATCAAAACAAACAAACTCTCGTTTTATTATGTGACATGCCGAAGCAATTTTGCCTGGGTCTCCCTGTTTCAGATTGAATTTAGGGCTCGAACTGGCATACGTGGCTAATTATTACGTGGTATATATTGGACATAATGCGTAGTATGCTTTGAAGGCTTTTAAAATTATCGTTTGACATTTGAACTAAATAATGACCGACACCCTTTTAAAGGTTAGAGCTTACTCTTTACTCCATTATTATGTCACATGCCGAAGTAATTTGTCTGTGCCTTACTGTTATAGATTGAATTCACGGCTCAAACTGGCATATATACGGGGTTTATCCGTTTATCGCGAGTATAAATGGACAAAATGCGTTTTATCGTATGATATTTTAACTAAATAATGACTGACACTGTTTTTTATAGCTTTAAAATGGCCCTTGGCTCTCATTATGTCACATGCCGAAGCGATTTGTCTGGGTCTATACTGTTTCAGATTGAATTTAGGGCTTAAACTGGCATACTGGGTTTATTGGGGCATTACGAGTATTGGACATAATGCGTTGTATATTTTGAAGGCTTTTAAAATTATCGTATCGCGTTTAAAATAAATAAAAACTGACGCCCTTTGAAAGGTGAGATCTTACTCTTTATTCTCATATACAAATTATGTCACATGCCGAAGCAATTCGTCTGGGTCTTTCTATTTCAGATTGAATTCACGGCTCAGCCTCAAACTAGCATATTATTATACGGGGTTAATATTTTTTCGGGTGTAAATATAACAATTGAGCTCTCAAAAGTATATACTGCCTTTTTTCAAGATCTAATACATACCGAAATATGCTAATAGTTACTTTTCATCGGATTTAAAAACTAATTACCGTCTATGCTATTAATGTTAAATCAATATATTTTAATTATGCAACAACGTTTTCTTGAACGAAAAATCAAAGCAAAACAAAACAAACAAACCATTCTTTTATTACGAGGATACCAAATACCTTGTGTTTATTGTGCTTACTCATTCTTTATTGCTGTTATGAATTTATGTTCAAGATTTTGTTATTATCATTATATTATTATTAATATATTTGTTAAACTAATGTACCTCATTATGTTTAACAGGGCCTCATGGAAGACCATCATTATTGGTGATAATATGAGTCACCCGTCTAATTATCAGAAATAAATAAATAAATAACTAAATCCGCGCTTTTACATACAATAATCCTCCAAAAGCGTTTTTAACTTTGAAGGCTTATATGACATCTCAACTGAATGATGACCAACACCTTTTAAAGGTGACTATTTGACGTTTACTCCCACTGAACATTATTACGACACACTAAAATCGAAAACCTGATAGCCTTGTTGTATTAAAAAAAAGGAGTAAAAAATGAGGTTAAACAAGTTAAAAGGATGTTTATTAATTTGACTAAAATGTGTGCGTAAAGTAGCACTTCAATGATGAGAATTGCAAAATGTCATGCAGATTGCTTTGAATGCTCATCTAACCCGATAAGCTAACACATACAGCTTGAAAACGGGTCCGTATAAAAAGAAGGAGCATTTTCATGATAGTCCTCAGGAGCGGATCTAGCTTTTTGCCAGGGGGGGGGGGGGGGGGGGGGGGTGACCCAGTGGCGGATCCAGGATTTTCCAGAAATCGCGCCGTTTACTGTTTTACTTTTTTTTCTCCTTCTACCCCCCCCCCCTTTTTTTTTTTTTTTTCTTCTTCACTTGGCCGCCCAAGGGGGAGCGTTTTAAACTCCCTCCCCCCCCCCCCAGATCCGCCCTTGGGCCCAGTGGGTGAAAAAATACACAAATTTGCATAATCACTGAGAATAAAAGTGCGTGATTAAAGGTGAAATTCAAAGAAAATCACATTATGTCAACTAATGTATCAACTAATGTATCACTAGAAACTGGTAAGCTAACAAATGGCCATCGTACAAGCTTTAGGTCAACTACATAGCGGGTGATTTATAAAAATACAAATACAACCATCTCCATAGCAGTCGGGATATACGGGAGATTCGCCGGAAAAATAACGATGTTTTAATGACGTCACTATACGGTCCAACACTGCCCAAGCAGACGACATCCCATAGAGAATGAACATAATTGCAAAGCTATTATTTCTCAAATTATAATAAGTTTAGTGTATATAAATGTAATGGCGTGTCAAACCATTCAAAAGGGGATATGACCCGATTCTGATAACTAAAATCTTTTGCTTGTAAATACACAGGATAGGGGTTAATAAACAATCAAAGAAACCAGACTTTCAAATTGAAAACCCCCGGCATGATATTAAGGACGGCAATTGTTCCCTGTTGAAACGCCGAACATACCCCGGTGTGTGCAGCTGATTATACAATTGCGTCTTATTTTGTTTATACAAGCGACAGATTCCTTTATTTTTGTATCACTGCATTTGTCATTAAAATAAAACCATGTGCGGGGTTGACAGATTATACATTTAGCCTGACGGTAGTGAAGTAAGAGAAAGAACTCAAGAGAAGATGAAAACACAGGCACTAGAAATGTGTGAGATGTCATGGGGCATCGTCTGCTCAGGGAGGTGGAAAATTCCACCTCCCTGGTCTGCTTGTGCAAGTCATGTCCATACTGCATGGGCGTAGATCTGTAATTGATACAGTCCTATTGTTCAGGGGAGGATGATTTATTCATTAATCCTCCTGAACACTAGGTATTACGTAAGGATTGACGCCCATGCCATACTGTGATCTCACACATCTCAGCAGCGTTCGGAGAGCTCTTCAGGTGCTATGCCGGGGCTGTATTTTAAGCGTTTTGTAATTTATAATAATCATTACTTCGAATGTTTCCAATTTGAATTTTGAAAGCCTTGTCGAATCAAAGTTTCAACTTTGCAATAATGAAAATAAAGTTAGTTTTTTAAATCAATGAATATCTACTTTAAAAAAGAAAGAATTGTATACAACGATCATGCATGACCAACATGTACACCTGTTCACGTTTTCAAAAGCACTTTTACTCGTGTAATCTATGCTGTTTACTGGTAAGATGTCGCTTATACTTTAATCTGTGCAAGCGTATTTAGCTGTTTTTCTTTCAAATGCATCCTTAGGCTTACAAAAAAAAAGATGTTGTATTGCACTTTAGGTGCCAAAACATGGGTCGGTCGGTCGGAGTTCTTTTTTCTTTTTTGTTATACTTTTTTTGTTGGTCTCCCTCTTTGGGCTGATATTTTTCAGTTTTCAATGCTCTAAAGGTAATGCCAAGTTTTTGGAAAATTTTGAAAAATGGATGGAAAGTAATTTTTTTTTTTTAAATATGTGGTTGCCTATGTGGATGTATTAAAAGCACTAGAAAATTCAGCCTCTAAAACACTTCTGCTTTCGAGAAATTGAATAATCAAAACCGGTGCTCCCGGTAAATTTCAAATAGCGCCTAAGGCCATTCCATGGTAGCAGCTACCAAGATGAAAATCTCAGAATATGCAGTTGTGATATATAATTTCCAAACAGGAATAGCAAATCGGTCGATTGTAGTCAAGAAACATTATTCTAAGGCTAAAGTGTTTTCAGTCTCGAGAATGCGCTTTAAAACATAATGGCCCGAATTCACAAAGGAGGTAATTTGTCGACAAACCTCCATTTATTTCGACAAACCTCCTTTTGTTTTTTACAAACCAGGTTTGTAAAAAAAACGCGTCAAATATGACGAACTTAAACCTCGGTTTGTCGACTAACCTCCTTTGTGAATTCGGGCCAAAGAGTATATTATTCACAATTTCATCACTTTAGACTCGATTTCAACCGCGACAACGATTATTGAATATTGTTATCTCGCATATGCTTCCAATATGTTCATTTGAACTAATTCATGACCCTATACCAAAACTTTATAATGGTTTCTAAAAATACCTTTTTTAAAAAGCCGACCGTAGATTTCAAGATTTTGGGAACGGGCAATATAACTTTTTTTTTTTTTAGGCCTTATTGTTTGTCACAGAGATTTTGTTAAACCAGGATGTTCACGAAGGCGCTGAGAATTAAAGCACCGTAACGATAAGCCAGTTCATAGTTGCATTCAAGCATGAGCAGACACTATGAACATGACAGACAAAGAAAGAGGACAAAATATATAGTCCCCATTCTCCCCTCAACAATTGCTGCAGTAGACAAAGGAACATCCCTTCACTGATATTATGTAAAAATGTGTAGAACAGGTGAATATGCATGTGACACCTGTTCTACACATTTTCACATAATAGCAGTGAAGGGATGTTCCTTTGTCTACTGCAGCAATTGGTGAGGGTAGAATGAGGACTATATATTTTGTCCTCTTTCTTTGTCCGTCATGTTCATAGTGAGATAAAGGTCATTGCAGACCAAATTGTGAAATACACAGAGACAAAATACTGGATACGTGCTCATGAAAGTTACGTAATCATTATTCATTTATATGCACAAGCAGTCCACTCCATAATACTCAGGTGGAAGTATTCTTTGAAAAGGGGAAGCAAATTTAGGCTATTTATGTAGCACCTCCATCGCTGAAAATGTGCCAAGTGGGACCTTTTCATAACATCCATTTTGGGCCATTTAAAAAAAGGGTACTTCTTCAAATTGATGCAAAATCTTGCTGTACGCGCAGGTATAGGCATTTAGGGGCATTTTTCTAGCTCTCATGGCCAGACCGGGGGTGGGGGGGGGGGGATAATAATGTTTGCTTCCGTCGTATTTGCTTATAGCAGGGGCGCCAATTTCTTTTCATAACCGGGAGGGGGGGGGGGGAGCAGTGGGGAAATGGGCAAAAACTTTTGGGGGAAATAGACGTGGGGTCAGATGAACATAATTTATTTAAACCTTATTTGTGACACTGGCATGCAGGTCACTAATTGGAGTGGGGTCCAGGGGGCAAAGCCCCCAGAAGCTCAGGGGTCTTAGGCCCTTATTATGATCAGATGAGCATCCAGGGGCTGCATTAGGGTCATTGGTAGGATCCAGTGCGCAGAGCCCCCAGAAGCTCAGGAAAAAACATACCATTTCACAACATTTGTTGAATCACTGGTATCTGATTACAAATAAACTATGTTTGAAATTTATTGGGGAGGCAACTGCCCCCAAAGCCCACCCCCATCAGTACGCCAGTGTGAGGGAGCATCGTGAAAAGGAGGGGTGAAGATGACGGAAGTGACTACCCCTCACAGGTTTTTGAAGTTTTTGTAATAAAAAATTAAATTACTTAGCAAAACTATAGTATAAAAACAAGCAATATAATTTGTTAACACTTAACTTTTCTACAATATTGACTTCTACATCTTAAAGAATATTATGCGATAAAGCGTTGCTATCGAGCAAGAAGATTTTTTGCATATTTATTTGTCTAAACGCTGCACTCTTGGGCCCTCCACAGCCTAAAAGTGTGTTGCAGTCTTTAGTCATTATTTGCTATACATAATTTTTTTGCACCTTTTTACATTTTCGGGGGGGGGGGGGGGAGATCCCCCCGTCCCCCTGGGATCGCTGCCCCTGGCTCATACAGTAGACGACGACCGCAAGAGGTAGCCTATCTAACGCAAATCAGTTTGAAATGATCTTAACATCTTCAGTAGATCAAGATGGATGCCCACAGTACTGACCAAGACCTACCAAGTCCCACGCCTATAGCTGGTCCTTCATATTTTGTTTTGTATAGTAGAATAGTAACTGTTCACTGTACATTGCCTGCTTTGTGTAAACACTACATGTACTTTATATAGAATAGATCCAAAAAAAATTGAAGAAAGGACTAATGATAGGTATACATTAATTAAACCCATTTGGAAGTGTACAGGTTGATGTTATTGCTTCTCTATTCTGTACGGTGCGTCTTTACCAACCCAAAGATTCACATTATGCGCAAACGCTGAGCAAAATATCTCGAGCTGATGAAGACGCGATTTGTAACTTTGGAGTTGGGGGCTTGGGGCTTATTTGGGAAAAAACAAATGACACTCACACTTAGGTTGCAATTTGGCTTTAGAAGAAATCCTCATTTAGGGGATGTCTGGAAAACCTGTGGTTGCGCATGCTTACAGTATTTCTACATGCCTGAGACCCCCACCTACGAAGATGTGAATTTGTATCAAGTAGTTTACCTGCAGGCCACACGAAGGCCACACGATAGCTACAGGACGTCGTATTGAGAGTAGATGCGTTCGAACAAGGACACAAAGGCATCACGTGACCTCCCGATGGTATAAAACCCCTTCGGACGACCATGGGAAATTCAATTGCTGATCTGAGATTATTGATGCTCTAAGCAGGGGCCTTGGAGCGACCTCAAAAGGGGGGGGGGGCGGATGGGACAAACAAAAAAGGGCACTTTCTGGAAAAAAAGTCACCCACAAAGGGCAATCTCAAAGGAAAAATATACAATTTGTTAGACATTGGTATATACCCCTACATTATGATTACATAGATAATAATTTGAACAAAGTTTTTTAAAAGATAAAGACCAGTTATGGTCATGCGATTGCATTGTGAAAGAAACATGGAATCGATCAGAAAAGGTTGATCATCTAGCATATTAAAGTATTGGTGTGTACAAGGTTCTGGAGTCATCAAAATGATATGAAATTTGGCCCAGTCTTCGTAAAGTTACAAGCACTGTACACAGAAAGATGTATATGGGACGATACGCACACGTGCTTGACACGTGCGTTATATAAACAAATCACTTCCAAATAGATAAACTAATTTACCAAATATATCAATTAGTAGACGGTTTCCCAGCAAAATTGTTATCATCATGTATTAGTCAAAACATATTCTTTCACATAATTGGTAATAGAGCTTCCATTTCATTTTTTGAGGGGGGGGGGCGTTTCCAAAACTGGTTTACCTTTAGTTTAAGATACAAAAATTAGTTACTCCCATGATCATGATGGCCATACTGACTCCAGTCCAGCTTCAACTTCTGACACATTCAACTTCAAGTTCATTTTTATTCAAAAACACAAAAAAAATGATATAGACTCTCACTAATCTTTTACATAAACAAAGAGACTCGTAATCATCATTGGTAATAATAATCAACATATAGTCTACTACATCATAGTAGAACCCCTTGGCCTTAGAAGCTTGTGGGCTACGCAGTTCAGCTGGCTGTATTTATTTGTCAAAACACATAATAACAACATTCGTAGCATTTGAGTTGTTTTCCACTCACTTTGTTTGTGAAGAGCTAGAGATATAGAGGTTGGTTTTAATTCTCTTGGCTGCCCGGCGTATATGTTGCTGTTGGTTGAATTGAGAGAAGTGGCAACTGTGTATTGCATGCTATGTAGGCACAGCACTGGTCACATCCGTCGTACGTGTCGACTATTTATATTATTATTTTGTTTATTATTCTCAATCCAGGAACTGTTATATCATATTTAGAAAAAATATATATACTTTTTGTTATTTCCTTGCATAATTAATCATATACTTTAAAAATACCTTCCGTTTATAGAGACAATACAACATTAGGCGATTTATTCAGAAATATCAAATAGTTTCATAAATATTATTTCCTCAATCAAAGACAATGCAAGGAAGCAGACTTGCATGTAGCCTAGCCTTGGTAAGCACCGTCGTACGTACCCCACGTGTAGTGTGCTGTACATAACGTATGTAGACTATTCACACTACTTGTACTTGGCACCAGTGCAGTGCAGGCAGTCTCTCTGTGCAGTGTGGGGGTCAATTAACAATAATAAATCAGGCAGCTAAAGAAATGCAATCCAGTGGGAAGAGAATATCAGCTTACGCCGTTTTTAAGGTAATGGAATAACATATTCAGTTGTTATTGTAGAAATCGATCAGAAAAGGTTGATCATCTGGCGTATTGGAATCATCAATGAAAAGGAATTTGGCCCAGTCTTGGTACAGCTACAGACAGTTACGAGCACTGTACACAGAAAGATGTGTATGGGACTACACGAACATGTGGCATAAAAATCGGTCCCAATTTTTATGATTTTTTACATGCCATATTTAGAATATTAAAGATGAAGTTGAGTTCTGGTCATGCGATTGCATTGTGAAAGAAACGGTGTGGAATCGACCAGAAAAGGTTGATCATCTAGCATAGGTCTAGGCCCTAGACCCTATAAGAATTTGTGTGTATTGCAAGGTTCTGGAATCATCAAAATTATAAGAAATTGGCCAAGTCTTGGTAAAGTTACAAACACTGTACACAGAAAGATGTATATGGGATTACACGAACACGTGGCGTAAAAAACCTACCCCCCGAGTTTTACGATGTACATGAGATATTTAGAATATGAAGGCCTTTGAAGAGCCATGCTTTTCAGGGAACATGTCTTATCTGATGTTCTTCCCCACTTGTATAATAAGAATGTTAATGCTCACAAATTATTTTTCACCTCTTCCCAGAACTCGACCTTCTCTTTAAGGCGCTTGAAGAGCCATTCTTTTCAGGGAACATTTTAAATTTTAATTTTTATGTGATGTTCTTCCACACTTGCATGGAGTCTAGATCTAGACCAAGAGGCAAGATCTAATAGTAATAATGGCGCTTGTTCAGAAACCAGTCTTTCCAAAATTTAACCCGTAATTCCGGCATGGAGATACCCTAAAGTAGACTATACTAAAACATACCCAAAATGAAGTAAATATTCATTAAATGTCCAAATAATGATCATGAGTTAAAAGTTGTTACGTTTATTACCTGTATCGTGTCAATTTTATTGTTATTTTTGGAGTATTTTTCGGATAAACGTTGATATAATTAGTTACGGTATACACTTTTTCACAGGTTTCACGGCAAACCGCTGCACAATACAAGTGCATACCGATGGTGGGTTAAGGGTGGGCGCGCGCCTGTTATCTACCGTAATGTCTCAGATCCTCATTACGGTAGATCTCTCCATGCCGGAGTTACGGGTCAAATTTTGGATAGGCTTCTGAACAAGCGCCGAGATAACACTCGTAATCTATTTGTCACCTCTGGCTCTTCCCAGAACTCGACCTCGATACCTTGTCTTTAAGTAAAACTTAAACTTAAAGTGAATTACTTAACTTTTTAAGGATGCAGAAAAAAATTGTACAATTACAAAGTACTGGTACTTTGGTAGAAGATTTGACTGAAATATCATGATTTGGGTATCAGATCAAACAGAAAATCGCAAGCTTTCTCCTCGCACTAATATCTTATACAGTTGAGCTAATGGCAGCCAGCGATAGCAATCAGAAGGGTCCATGTAGTCGCCAATTTGAGAAAATGAGGCTAAGACGGTATGAACGTAATGCGGATGTGCTGGATGTATAATTTAAGTTCTTCGCGCCCCAGTAACCCTGGTGTTATATCCTGACTGATGGATCCTGTCAAGTATCTAGAAGTAGATGTACTCATTTAGGCCAAGATGATTTTGGTCCATTTTTAAAATTAAGATACGATTATACGCCTCTAATAATGAAAACCGAAGTTACTTGAACAGAGTCTGAAGACTGAAGGGCCTAATGTAATGCTTTGTTGGTACTGTTAGTGTTGTTGAACTTGAAGTTATCATTGCAGTTGCTGTTTTTTTTTATTGTTTTTTTTTTAAAGGAAACTCACGATAATATTCCATTTCCATTTCATTATGTCAAGTAGCTTGGGAAGGTGATTTCTTCAGTTGTATTTTACATGCAAATTACTGTTTTTGAAGGATAGATCTAGATATGCATGTTTTGTATTAGACTCATACCTATAAAGTAAACTGTCAATCTCCCACATTATCTCCCTAGGCAAAGCAGAATGCTACACCAAAGAAAGAAGTCCGAGGCAAGGTTCAGAAGCCTGAGGCGTCCACCCCCATCGCTGGTCTCATCAGACAGGGCCAGGGTAAGCTGAAGAAGCTTAGAGAATCTGCTCGCTCCAAGAAGACCAAGAAAGCTGTCAAGAGGTCAGAGGGCACAGTTGGAAGGTTGCAAGCAGATAATATGGACGTCAATGATGATGACAGACCTTCTTCTAGGTTATCAAGTCGAACAAGGCCTACACGAACTGAGGGTACTAGTGGTACTTGATTCTGAAAGTGTATTGGTGCAAGAGTATGGGAATGATTTTTAGTATCAAGTCTATACTGTATTGGTTGAGATGACATAGACAGAAAAATCTGTCTGCCTGGAGTAGTTTTTTAACACATTTTGTCTTTTGACAAGAGGATTTGATGAAGCCAGACGTACGTAGTCTCAGCAGAACATATCCTTGATGAAATAGACTGATTTTTCATTCTAGAAGTGACAGTGCTGTCATACATATGTATACAAAATCTGTATTATTGCCTGTGTAATGGACTGAAAATAAAGCACTTTGTTGTAGACCCTACCTAAATATTCAAAGAGTAATACTAGATTCTGGAGTATCTATACATGTTTAACCTGGTCAAGTGAGAGTAAAAGAATTTATGCCAGATCTCTGTTATGTAACTTATGTTGAGTGCCAAATAATGCTGAAGATTAATCCTTTATCATACTTTGAAATATATTTTTACTAATACAAGGGAGGAAATCATCCTGTGTAATAAAAAATAATATCTGTAATGAACTTAGTGAAACATTAAATTGTCATCATTTGTTTGTAATCAGCAGCGGATTCCAAGCCCAGAGGAAGTAGTCAGAAAAAGCGTAAATCACCTTATACTACAACCCCAGACAAGGGAGGAAGAAAAAAGGTCACACCCACCTTGCAACCAACAGAACCAATTGCAAAACGTCTCAAGGTGTGTTACTCTTGTAGAGTCCAAACTGAAAAGAAGTACTTGAGATGCTAAATTGAAATGAGCTTCAGATTCTCACTGTTATTATTGTCTTACCTGTATTTGACCTTTATTATATAAAAAAAAAATCCCTCCAATTTTCCCTGTTGAATGAGAGATTATTTAACACTTTCTTACGACAAGTCTCCTCTTCATGTAGTCTTTCTTGATCAATTTAGAATACCGGTAGTAGTTTTCATCAAACATTGGTCCTTGATCATGACCAGTTATAAATGACCAGGCATCTACTATTTTCTCTCCTACCTAGTTGAATGCCTAGTATGAAGGAAACCTATTGTAGTTGCAAAGTCACAAGTGCTTGAATGTAGATGTGTTGATTTATGAGTAAATTATGATTATCCTAATTTGTTTCCTTGTTCTTAAACTTCTGTGCATGCCTTAGTATCTCTCTCTACAGCCTATTGCCACAATCTGTTTTTAACAGGCCTGATAATTACCCGATTTAAATCGGTTTTCCCAAATTTTTGTAATCCCAGATTTTACCCTGATTTTCCCTTATTTTCACTTATTTTTCCTATATTTCCCAATTTTTTCCCAATCTTCTTACTCAGAAAGGAGGGAATGTTGTTCGATGCCTTTTTTTACTCAAGGGGGGGGGGGGGGGGGGTTGAGGGATTTTTTTTTAGGGCTCACTATCACCCCTGTTTTTAAGAAGATAATTTTCAAAATATATGACTCTCTAATGTTCTCAGTACCAGGAGAGTGGGAACGAGAGCACCATAGCTGGCCCATCATCCAGTGTATCAGATAACTCGCTGAAGAGAGACAGTCATCAACATGGAAAAGATGTCTTCTCGTGGCTCATATCACCTTTCAAGGTTGAAGACTATTTCAAGTAAGTTTTCAATGACTCGTGCAGGTTAAGTCAATTCAATTTGTCTGTATACATTCATGTTGAAATATATGATCCTGCATGAGATTGTCATCTATTTACATGTCGGTAGATTTGGGTCGACATTGTTTTCATCTGAGATGCATAGTGAAGGCATTATGTAGAACAATTTCCTTCCACTGTTTGTACTTGTTATAATGAAAGAGTCATCTGCATGTTGGTAGATTTTGGACTTTGGTTTACATTGTCTACTTCTGTGATGCATAATGAAGATATTTTATACTATGAATATTCTTACACTGTATGTACTTGTTATAAGGAAGTCAATCCCATTTTAATAAGTTTACATTTTACAAAAGAGCATTCAAATGAATGCTTACAATAGATTACCCCCATTAATTATTTCACTTTCAGTCTATTTGTATGTGTAGAAAAAAGTCTCTATCTAATGGATACAAATAAAAGAAGAGTCTTGTCTTTTTTTTAAAGTTATGTAATTTTATGTATATTCGCGATAATGTTGAATTAGCATAAATAATGCAGTAAACAGAGTGGTATTACTTTAAAAAAAAAAAAAATTTTAAACTTTTCTCCAATTATTTATTGTTAACAAATGATAATCTAGTCTTGATGAATTTAGTGGTGAGAGATGGAAAGTTTCCCATTCAGTTTTGAATGTCAAAAACTCAAAATTGTTTTTTCATTTCAGAAATATATTTGAAAGGAAACCCCTGTTCTTGAAGAGACATAAACCCGGCTATTTTACAGACATTTTCAGCTCAAAAGAACTCAGTAATATTCTTAAAGAGGTAAGTATTCTTCATTTAATCCTTTTTAGCATATTCTTACACTATTATGTATGGTGATGACAGAAAATTGATTACTCATATTACACATAGTGCTTGCTACATTTCTATGTATGTAAGTTTAAGGAGATTGAACTTATGCTGTATTTTTGCAATCATTTGAGTTATAAACTTTTTACATCCATCACTTCAGAATGATGTGCAGTTCACTCGGAATATTGATGTCACCACATACACAGATGGAAAGAGAGAGACACACAACCCAACAGGCAGGGCGCAACCTCAAGTAGTGTGGGACTACTATAACGTAGGTCTACTTGAAGTCTTTAGTAAAGTCTGGTTTGGGACCGCTAAAATGGTAAACCTTGTGTGGAAACAGAGAAAAAGATTCATTTGTTCTGTTGGGGGGGGGGGGTTCAAAGAAATTAGCCCCAAATGATTTCAGCCTTAAATTATTATTTGTTTACTTCATATCAATTTGAATGTTAAATAATGATCAGAATATTTTCATGTATATTGTAACTTGATTTGTGATAGTGATGGATGTTGATACAGGCCTTGACTACTCCCACACATTCACTTCATCACAGTGTACGCATTTGTTCTCATTTGTATCTTTTTGTCTTATAAGGAAAATGTTGTTCTTAAATTGCGTATCTCTGCATATATTTTATTTTTTAAGTGATGTGAAATAAATGAATTTGAATTTGAAAAAAGAATAAAGCTTAGTTTATCGATTGTTTCCCCATGAAGATGAGAGAAAGCTTTCTTTGTGTATATTTGATATAATTATCAAATAATTTGTTTCTTTTGTACAGAATGGTTGTTCAGTGAGAGTCCTAAATCCTCAATCATATTCTACCAGAGTATGGCAACTCTTAGCAGCGCTTCAGGAGTTCTTTGGTTGTTTTGTAGGAGCGAACATGTAAGTGAATACAAATATAGCCCCAAATTCTAGAATTAAAAAGAAAAATTGGTCTTGCTCTTATCAAGTGAATATCCCCTGGAGAAATGTTTACGTTCTCAAATGCCCAACTTCTGTTCAAATAATTTTCTGAGTGCTACCATTAGACTTAAAGTAACTGTTTGGTAGTTGCAAAGTGAAGTACTTTTGAATACGTATATATACTAAATTGACTAGAGAAACAGTGGCACTTTAAAGCGCAATGTACTACTTGTAGCCACTTGCTCCCTCTATATAGAAAACTTCCCCAATTGGTGCCTGTTGGTCCCCCATGATCCTCTTTTTCTTATGTTAATTGAGAGCTGAGTTGATGAGATAGCCATCTGTCAGTGACCATGCTGTGTGGTCTAATCCCTTCTGGCCAAACTAGTACAGACAGCCTTTAAGCACTCGTATTTTAACCGAATATTAGGTCAACATGAATTTAAACATGATAATGTGTAGAACGATTATCCTTTAATGAACAGGTGATAGAAGTTTATTAATTTGGCTTGTTCTTATTTTCGTTTGATCAGTTACCTAACTCCTCCAGGCACACAAGGGTTTGCACCTCACTATGATGACATAGAGGCCTTTGTGCTTCAACTAGAAGGCAAGAAACATTGGAAGCTGTATAACCAGAGGTCACCAGCTGAAGTACTTCCTAGGTTCTCTAGCTGTGAGTTAATAGATCAGAACGAGACAACAAATACAGTAGGAGCCATCATTTGGGGGGGGGGGGGGGGGGGGGGGTAACAAATTTCACAAATTGTAGGATCTCAAACTTACTGAGCTGGCAATGCATGTTAAATGTGTATTGTCAGTACCGGTAATCCAGTGTTTATTTTCAAGAACACAACAACTTGTCAAAACAATGTCTGTTAAATCTCAATCAGCTATATCTGCAGAGATTCTAGAGGCAACACTTTGTTCCAATTATTGATTTCTACAGACAATTAACTATGATAATGGTTTTATACATTCATTGTTTGTGTAATCATTACCTCAATGCACTTCAAATTCAGCCTTGGATTAAAATAACCTATAAGTACACTGGAAATCTCATGTTTTGAAAGTGTAGTCCATTGATTCCTTTGGTTTTTTTTCATCATCTTCTAGCAAACTTCACTGATGCTGATATTGGTCAGCCAATCTTAGACACAACCCTAGAGCCAGGAGATCTTCTCTACTTCCCAAGAGGAGTCGTCCATCAAGTAGGTGCATTTTCTTTCATTTTTGCTTCTTGGCTATCTTTCCCTCACTCTGAAGATTTGAATATTAGTCATAGCCAACGCCCCTGGCGGTGTGCGTTTGACTAGGGGGAATAAATAAATCACTATTGAATATGTTTGTACCTTTTCCGTGTCTCTCTTCATTTTAACATCAGTGAATTGAGATATCATGTGAGAAAAGAAAATATATACTATGTGTACAAACTGTACATTTATTCTTTAACTGGATTCATTTATATGTTTATATATTTAAATTTGTTTACATTTCGTGTTAATGATCCTGTATTCAGTTGTGCTCTTCTAAGGCATGACCCCATCAGAGATCCCACTCTCTTTCTATATCTTTACATTAATCATTCAACAAATATTGTGAGCAAAGAAAACAACTCTGCATAGAAGTGGGTCTTCTGTAGGGGCTCCTTTGAAGTTCACTTAAATTCTCAATGAAACCACTGTTCATTTTCTATGCAGGCAAGCACTCCCTCCGAGACCCACTCTCTTCATATCACGATATCAGCATGTCAGAAGAACACATGGGGTGACTTGATGGAGCATGTCCTAACCAGAGCACTCCATGTCGTTAGAGAGGAGAACATTGATTTCAGGAAGTCTCTACCTACCGATTACCTCAACTATATGGGTGTGGCTCATGAGGATCTGGTAAGGAATCTTCTTCTTCTTCTTCTTCAAGATAATCTGCCTCCTTTAATACTGAAGATTCTTGCAGATGCTGATATACTTGGCCTGATTGGGGTTCGCAGTTGGACCACTACACCGGAATTTCCCCCTACTTTTATATGAATAGTGCAATGTGTTCTTAACGTGCAAGGTGGTGACTCTCCTGTACACGGATGGGGCCTCTATTTAATGTCCTATCGAAGGAACTTTATGAATTGATTCAAGTAGGAAAATTTAGATTGATGATGCCTGATAGATACCTTTTGCCAGTGATAATTTTACCAAAATTGCCTTTGGTTACTCTCTAAATCGTTAACAATTGTATAAGATTATGATTTAGAGTAGGTTCCATCGATTATAGAATTGAAATTCTGTGTAAGTCTAGTTGATTATTATATGACTAGTTGATTATTATATGACATTATATTTGTGCTAGGTATTCTCAACCTCAACCTCAACCTCATCCAACTAGTGAATAGAATAAATTCATACAAGGAACTTTTACTTATGTTCTGAGCTGTACTTTCTGCTGCTAAGGTAATGCAAGATGTATAAAGTTCTAAAAACTCGATGTTGTGTGATAATTTTACTTCATACACTCTGAGCTTTCACTGATTCAGACACTGTTGGACTAAACTTACAAAATGTACTGTTTTGGTAAGATATTAGCATTGAATATGTAATCATATAATTAGAAACTATCTGGTATTTTATGTTTTTGTATAGGATGATGAGAGGAGACAACCATTCATGAAAAAGATTGGTGACCTGTTCTCAAAGCTACTAAAATCTGCTCCTATAGATGCTGCAGCGGATCAGATGTCTTTAGAATTCTTCCACACCAGTCTTCCCCCTGTACTTGAAGAAGGTATATTTTCATTCATCAACAGATTTTTGTCATTGAGCAATGAGTTAGTTCTCATTTCATCCTGATACATGCAGAAACCTTGTTTTTTTTTAGGGAATATGCCTGTTGGTAATATCATAAGTAGAGAGTAGAGAGAGCCAACATGATGTACACGATGTAACTGTGCTTGAAATATATCCAATGATGTCTAGTGTGTCAAACCCAAATACTTCACTGGTGTCCTTTACCAAGGCACTGTCTGGCATTTGCCTCTCTCTCCCCAGGATTTGATTGGCCAAGAGAACCAAAAGTGTGGACTAACATGCTAATACTTGATTACCATTTTGTAAATAATATAACAAAGGAATATTACTTGTACTTATTAGCATGTGATGTGTGTACATGTGGTTATGTCGAAATAACAGTGCAGGGAGTGGCTCAAAACTAATAATGTCATTAAATATACCTAGATTTTGTTTAGATTTCCGAGTATTAAAGAGAAGGTTGAGTTCTGGGAAGAAGTAAAAAATAATTTGTGAGCGTTATCATTGTTATTATGCAAGGGTGGAAGAACATCAGATTAAACATGTTCCCTGAAAAGCATGGCTCTTTAAATGCCTTCATATTCTAAATATGACTTAAAGCATCGTAAAAATCGGGGGGTAGGTTTTTTCGCCATGTGCTCGTGTAGTCCCATATACATAATTTTGTGTACAGTGCTTGTAACTTTGCCAAGATTTGGCCAAATTTCTTATCATTTTGATGATTCCAGAACCTTGCAATACACACGAATAGATGATCAACCTTTTCTGATAGATTCCACACCGTTTCTTTCACAATGCAATCACATGACCAGAACTCGACTTTATCTTTAAGTGATGATTGTCTGACTCTTTTGTGTAAAATTTTATGATGTCTGACAGCATGTGTACATATTTGTCATTCTCTTTGGCAGCTGAGGAATCCTGCAGTGTTTTTGGTGAGAGCGCATCCTGCAGGAATGGCAAAGTATCAGGCATCGTCCAGCTTGGTGAAGACGACCAGATAAGGCTACTGAGGAGGAACATCCTTAGACTAGTCCCTGAAGAAGACAAGGTCCTGGTCTATCATTCATTAGAAAACTCCAGGGTGTTCAAAGAAAAGGAGCTTCAGTATTTTGAGATACCTCCAGAGGTGAGTTATGTCATTTAGTGTGTTGTCACAGATCACCATGTCAATTGAATTTTTAAATAGCTTGAAATGCTTTTTTAAACAACTTCTTGCGTTTTATGTTTTCTATTAAATACTCTAATATATTGTGATTATCCCATTTGACAGCAATAAATTTATAGGAAGTAAGAATTCAACAAACTTTGGATTTTTTTTAATACCTATGTGGCCCAAGACGATGTAGAAGGACTGAAAAATCTTGGGATTCTTATAGGTATACCATTAATTATTGTCCAAATCGGACAATATAAGCAGAAGCTAAAGGAACAAGCGCACTGGAAAGTAGACATAAAGCCATTTATATACAGTTTACTTGTGTTTACATTAGTTAAATTTATATAATTAAATTGAAAATGAGTACATGAAATCCTGATTCCATGACCTAAGCCAGTGCTGTAGATCACATTTCGAGTTGTTTATTTTACCTAAAATGTAACAACATGTTCATTGGCTTTCTCTATTCAGCTTGCACCAGCTGTAGAACATCTCCTCCACAGCTATCCTGACTATGTACCTGTGAGCAACCTGGCTGATCAGTTACAACCTGTAAATGACGAGATAGCTGATGTGAGTACATAGTCATACCCGTTATGTAATCGTACACCTTGACTATTAGATCCATTTGATAATGGTCTTTGAATTCTTCAAGTTTTCATGTGTGTTTTATTTATAATCCTTTTCTTGTTGACTATGGTATGTTGGTAAAGAAAGTATATGATGGTAAATGAATAGCCTGGAGGATTGTGTCTCTGAAGATATGGCCTTTGGATGAAAATGATTGTTTCCTATTACAATCTTTGAAAACCTGTGGGCTGTTTTCAAGAATTTTCAAGAGTTTTCAAGACTGATTCTGCACTTAAATTAGATATCTAGAAGCTTCGGGCATATTTTTGTCTCGCCTGCGTAACAAAAAGCGAGACATAGACGCCGCTTTTCCGGTGACGGCGACGGCGGCGACGGCGTCAACATCAAAAACTTAACCTAAGGTTAAGTTTTTGAATTTTTGATATCATTTTTAAAGTATAAGTTCTAGTCAATGAAACTTTGACTATAGGGTAATCAAGTATCCCCAATCATGTGAGTAGAATTTCAAGATCACAAAGTCAAGGTCAAAGGTCATTTCAGGTCAACAGACTTGGACTATGTTGTAGCATCATCATCGAAAACTTAACCTAAGGTTAAGTTTTTGAATTTTTGATATAATTTTGAAAGTATAAGTTCTTAGTCAATGAAACTTGGACTATAGGGTTATCAAGTCTCCCCAATCATGTGAGTAGAATTTCAGGTCACTAAGTTAAGGTCAAAGGTCATTTAAGGTCAACAAACTTAGACTTTGTTGTGGCATCAACATCAAGATTTTCAAAATGCTTCTTCTTCGTTATTTTTCAACCGATTTTGATTCTGATTGTTTCATATGATAGGGCTAGGAGGGGGATTTAAAATTTCTACACAGAATCGTGAAATTCATTATCTATGCTAATTTATGCAAATTTATTCGAAATCACAAAAAAGGCTTCTTCTCCTTCATTTCTCGACCGATTTTGATTTGGTCTGCTTTATATCGTAGAGCTAGCTTTGGTACACTAAACTTCTACACAGAATTTTGAAATTGTTGTCCATTAATTAATTATGGTTATTTATGCAAATTTATTCCAAAAATAATAAAAATTGCTTCTTTTCCCTCATTTCTTGACCGATTTTGATTTGGTTTGCCTTATCTGGTAGAGCTAAATTTGGAACACTAAACTTCTACACAGAATTGTGAGATTTTGCTCCATTGATTATTTATGGTACTTTATGCAAATGAAATGAAATTATGTTCCTTCCAGGGCATCAAATTTTTATTTTTTGTCCAGTTCAAAAGTGTACCACATAAAATTTACGATATTTGTTGTTGCGAGATGCGGATGAGCACTACGTCATTGACGTTCTGGTTTATCATATTGAATTGCGTTATGCAGGCGAGACCGCCGAGAGCGTTTCCCTTGTTTAAAGCTGGGATCCTGTTCTTACCTCTCTTAAAGGTGAAATTCAAAGAAAATCACAAATATGTCAACTAATGTATCACTAGAAACTGGTAAGCTAACAGATGGCCTTCGTACAAGTTTGAGGTCAGCTACATATCGGGTGATTTATAAAAATAAAAATACAACCACCTCCATAGCAGCTGGGATATACGAGAGATTCGCCAGAAAAATAACGATGTTTTAATGACGTCACAACAGGGACCAATACTGCCCAAGCAGACGACATCCCATAAAGAATGAACATAATTGCAAAGCTATTATTTGTCAAATTATAATGAGTTTAGTGTATATAAATGCACTGGCACGTCAAACCGATCAAAAGGGGACATGACCCGATTCTGATAACTAAAATCTTATGCTTGTTAATACACAGGATAGGGGTTAATTAACAATCAAAGAAACCAGCCTTTCAAATTGAAAAGCCCCCGGATTGATATTAAGGACGGCATTTGTTCCCTCTTAAAACGCCGAACATACCGCGGTGTCTGCAGCTGAATATACAATGGCGTCTTATTTTGTTTACAAGCGACAGATTCCTTTATTTTTGTATCGCTGCATTTGTCATCAAAATAAAACCATGCGCGGGGTTTAGAGTGAGGCAATAGATTATACATTTAGCCTGGCGGTAGTGAAGTAAGAGAAAGAACTCAAGAGAAGATGAAAATACAGGCACTGAAAATGTGTGAGATGTCATGGTACATCGTCTGCTTGTGCAAATCATGTCCCTGCTGTGATCTCACACATCTCAGCCAGGCGCGGATCCAGGATTTCTTAGGGGAGGGGGCCCAACTTTTTTTTTTTTTTTTGCTCCCGAAAATTTGAAAATCGCGCCGGCCGAAAAGTCGCTCAGTGGGGGGGGGGGGGGGGGGGGGGGGGTACAGAGCACAATTTTTTTTTTTTTTTTTTCTTTTGCTCCCGAAAATTTGAAAACGCGCCGGCCAAAAATTCGCTCAGTGGGGGGGGGGGGGGGGGGGGGGGGTAGTGAGCACATTTTTTTTTTTTTTTGATCCTCAAAAAATTTTCAATTTGCACCCCCCCCGGGCCCCCCCCCCCCCCCCTGGATCCGCCACTGATCTCAGCAGCGTTCGGAGAGCTATTCAGGTGCTATGCCGGGGCTGTATTTAAGCGTTTTGTAATTTATAATAATCATTACTTCGAATGTTTCCAAGCATTGAATTTTGATAACCTTGTCGAATCAAAGTTTCAACTTTGCAATAATGAAAATAAAGCTAGATTTAAAATCAATGAATATCTACTTTAAAGACACTCAGTAGTTAGCTCTCATGGGGAATTCAACACCGTTCGGGTATTTACCAATAAGAGGTGCTGTCAAGTGTCAATCACCAGAATTAGCCTTGAGTTTTATGACCACCAGGCCATATGTAACGTACTGCGTTTTCCACCCATTCCCCCACATGGTAAAGTCATTATCTCACTTTTCCGACACCCGAAGACTTTCGATAGACAAGGGGGTATTTCTTGATTGCCCAATGGGTTCGCTGTGTGCAGGCCTAATACATGTAAACACGTTAATGATCTTTATTATCCACCAAGTCTGGTGTCTGGAATTATGGCCTTCTGCACATGGAAACTGACGAGTGACTCACTTTAACATGTTGTATGGTGTTGAGTTAACAGTTTGCGGTGCGTATTTTGAAGTTAAAACAAACTATGAAGAAAACATTGTTGTATATATTTTTGTTAATATTATTATGTGACTTTGTAATAACTTTTTTTTCCTTCTTTTTCTTCTTCTACTTTTTTTAAAATACTCTTTTTCTGTTGCAGCCAGAGGACCTTGCACAGACCCTGTATGAAAAGGGTTTACTGATGACCAAATTCAAGTTGGAACCTTCAGTGTCATCAAGCTCAGATGGTCACAGAGAAGTGACTATTCACCAGTCCAGATAGTTGCAAGCATGAGATATGATTATCTGTATAAAAAATAATTGCATCAGAGCATCTATAGGCTTTGAATGAAAACAATTGTAAATCAACTTTCCATTCAGTAGAAATGATCGCTAGCTGAAATCTTCCGTATAATCCAGATTCAAAGATTACAGTATAATCACGTTGATAAAAAGCATCAGAAATTTGTTTTAAGGAATAAATTAAATTTAGTGTGATTGAAAAGTGATAACTGATTGCCATAGATTTTTAGTAATGAGGGAGGATTTAATTTCTGTAAATATGTACATACATAATCTAATTTGTGTTTTTATGCCTCCGTTACGAAGTAGCCGGAGGCATTATGTTTTCGGGTTGTCCGTCCGTCCGTACGTACGTACGTCTGTACGTACGTTTGTACGTACGTACGTCCCGTTTTTGTGATCGCGTTATCTGAAGAACCGATCGATGGATTCCTGCCAAACTTTGGTCATATATGTATCTTGCAGAGCCGATGAACTGATTAGATTTTGGGGGTCACGAGGTCAAAGGTCAAAGGTCACAGGGCTCATTAGGTATGCAAAAACAGCTCGTGATCGCGTTATCTGAAGAACCGATTGATGGATTCCTGCCAAACTTTGGTCATGTATGTATCTTGCAGAGCCAATGAACTGATTAGATTTTGGGGTCATGAGGTTAAAGGTCAAAGGTCACAGGGCTCATTATGTATGCATAAACAGCTTGTGATCGCGTTATCTCAAGAACCGATTGATGGATTGCTGCCAAACTTTGGTCATGTATGTATCTTGCAGAGCCAATGAACTGATTAGATTTTGGGGTCACGAGGTCAAAGGTCAAAGGTCACAGGGCTCATTAGGTATGCAAAAACAGCTCGTGATCGCGTTATCTGAAGAACCGATTGATGGATTCCTGCCAAACTTTGGTCATGTATGTATCTTGCAGAGCCAATGAACTGATTAGATTTTAGGGTCATGAGGTTAAAGGTCAAAGGTCACAGGGCTCATTATGTATGCATAAACAGCTTGTGATCGCGTTATCTCAAGAACCGATTGATGGATTGCTGCCAAACTTTGGTCATGTATGTATCTTGCAGAGCCGATGAACTGATTAGATTTTGGGGTCACGAGGTCAAAGGTCAAAGGTCACAGGGCTCATTAGGTATGCAAAAACAGCTCGTGATCGCGTTATCTAAAGAACCGATTGATGGATTCCTGCCAAACTTTGGTCATGTATGTATCTTGCAGAGCCAATGAACTGATTAGATTTTGGGGTCATGAGGTTAAAGGTCAAAGGTCACAGGGCTCATTATGTATGCATAAAGAGCTTGTGATCGCGTTATCTCAAGAACCGATTGATGGATTGCTGCCAAACTTAGGTCATGTATGTTACTTCCAGAGCCGATGAACTGATTAGATTTAGTGGTCATGAGGTCAAAGGTCAAAGGCCACAGCACACATTATGTATGCAATAACAGCTTGTGATCGCGTTATCTCAAGAACCGATTGATGGATTCCTGCCAAAATTAGGTCAAGTATGTTACTTGCAGAGCCAATGAACTGAGTAGATTCTTGGTTCATAAGGTCAAAGGTCAAAGATCATGGGCTCATTATGTATGCAAAAATAGCTTGTGAACGCATTCTCATTAGAACTGACAGATGGATTACTATTTAACTCAGGACATCTTGCAGAGCCAATGAAGTGAGTAGATTTTAGGGTCATGAGGTCAAAGATCAAAGGGTCATATATATGTATATGAGAAATTGCTTGTAATCACGATATTCTGAGAACCTGTCAATGGATTACAATTGAACTTGAATCCGAAAAATTTCTTCTGTTTTGGTTTGTAAAATTGCTCTATGACGGAGGCATCATTTTCGACTGCGCGCAGTCGAATTCCATCTAGTTATTATTGAAATGGTAGAATATTGATAATTTAGTCTCCCAGAACATAATGTGGATTGGATATCCCAAAAGCAAACTAAACAATTTTAAAAAAATGCATGACACAAGCTGTGTGTGTGTATGAGTTCTAATGAGAGGAGTAGAGTGTAGCAACTTTCATTCATTCATTCATTTCTTGCCAAAACTTCAATCCCTTTTTTCCCCTTCGGTTTTGCATATTTCTCAGTTCTTCGGATCAATGCAGTTAACATTTTGCTAACTTATTTTGCTTCCTTACATGTTTTTGTTTGTGTCTCGGTAGCAAAATATCTTTAATTGACTATCACAATATATGTTTAAATATAATATAGTGATCATTTCCAATGTTGATTCTAAATAGATAGAGAATGAAGAATCCAATTTACTTGTAGTGGCTAATAAGGGCTTTACAACACGGTTCTTTGTACAATATATCTTCATACTGTGAGAACCAAGTCTGGATGCTACTCTTCATTCGTCTTCTTGCTACTAGGCTATTCCTTATTTTAAGAAAGACAGGGACAATCCATGTCAACATGGTGTGATAGGACAATATTTGAATGGGAAAGGAAGTCAAGAATAGGGCTTGTGTCAAGCATCGTACTTTTGTTAATTGTTATCCTTTCTAAGAAGAAAATGAAGTCTGGATTAAATGTAGTGTGCTTAGTGGTTGAACTAGAGTACCCCTCATTTCCACTGGTACTTTGTTGACATCTTTCTTGAGTCAGTTGATCTTCAAGTACAGGCTGGGTTGATGATGAGAACCTCATCAATAACATTTACATCTTACACAACAATGCATGATTAGACAAATTCATTGTTCTTCTTACGTTTTGCTATCTTGTCTAAATCATTTTGGCAAACAAAGACAAAATGGCTCTAATTACCTAGAAATATCTTCCTATTTTCAAGAAATGTTTGCTTACGGTAGATAATTTTCCCCTATGTTACCTTGTTTTCTATAATACTTTAATTAATTTATGTCTTGGCTGTAAAGAATGGTCAATATTAGATTTTAAAATCCTTTGTGCAAGGCGTCATCAGTCTTCCTGTATTGTATGCAACAATATTAATTAAATGTAATTTAGTATTAATTTTCATTATGTCATTTTGACGAATAATGCTATAATTTTGTCATGTATTTTCCTCCTACCGAAAGGCAGCTAGAGTATATATTTACATCACTGTACAGTGATCTACTTGATATACAGCAATGGTTATATGTTTATATAATTGCCACTGTATGGGTTGGTTGAAAGACCCAACCATTATGAATCGTCTATATCGTGAAGTTATTTAGATGACTTGATTACGTGTTGTTATCCTTCAAATCAAGTGAAAATTTGTATGAAGAAAAAAATCAAACATTGTATCATGTTAAAGTTTGCCTAATCATTAACAAGCTTTAGTTTTTAACATATTTTCCAATCTTACATGTACTGTTTCGTACTCCATGTCTATACAAATGGTTTTGTATAATAACGATTGCACTGAAAAATAAATCTTTGTATGAAGTATATGAAAATTTGCTATGTTTTATATGTAATCACTTGTTGGAAATTCTGAATTTTGTTGCCCATCATAGATTACCTATTGCAGTCTGATGTAAACATACCATTCATCATACCAGTTATGTGTAAAACATTAAGAGAATATAGAATGGATCGTAAACAATAGGTGAAGGAAGAAATGAGTAGTGAAAAGAGTAAAAAGGAAGTCATACGATAAGTGTAAAAGGAAGAGAGAAAAGAGGGAAGAGATGAAGAAATAAAATGAAAGGGGAAATGGAGAGAGGTTGAATTAGTCATTAGTGTCCAAATGTGTCGCTTATTTGTTATGGTGCTCGTGCTCATCGAATGAACATAATGAGGATTGTACTCTGCTGAGGTGTGACCTAGTGAATGTATGCATGGATTAACAGGTCGGGATTCGATTCTTTACCACAGCTCCCTCATATCAATTCACATTAATTCTTCGTTAAGACTTGGACATGTGGAGAAGTCCACTGCTGATGTAATCCGAGTGTCAAAAACGCCCCCATTGATGCAAATCATGTCCGGTCATGAACCGGGGTCATGAATCTACGTAATGAATACATACGTTTAATACAATGTCGATATTTCCTGATAATACTGTTAGATACTGTACTTTGCCCCTTCTCTCAAATTCTCTCTCTCTCTCTCTCTCTCTCTCTCTCTCTCTCTCTCTCTCTCTCTTCCCTTCTCCCATTCTTCAATTCTCCCCTTCTCTCTCTATCTCCTCTTCTCTCTCTCTTTCTTCTCTTCTATCGAATTCTGTGCCCTTTCTCTATTATATATATATATATATATATATATATATATATATATGAATTTCTCTCTCTCTCTCTCTCTCTCTCTCTCTCTCTCTCTCTCTCTCTCTCCTTCTCCCCTTCTCTATTTATCTCTTTCTCTATCTATCTCTCTCTCTCTCTCTCTCTCTCTCTCTCTCTCTCTCTCTCTTATCCCTCTCACTGCTTTCTTCCTCTCCTTTTCTCCTTCTCTCCCATCTTTTTCAATCTCGGATGAAACTGTCTAAAAATGAAACTGACAGCACTGATATTACTGTTTGTAAATATCTGTGCAGCAAATGTGATCTTTATTCGGCACATTTATAATTAATATAGCATTAATATGGATCACTTTGCAATATCAAACTTTATACAAAAAAGTAATGAAACGAACTAAACATCCGGATTATTAACATAATGACCCCCTATATCAAATTTGATAGTCTTGATAGGCTTATTCGTGCAAGGGGTCACCCTCAACGGCGAAGCGGCGTCAACGCCCATGTTTTGTATTGCTGCATTTTTAATTTCTCTGTTCTATTTCTATTCATTTAATTTCATTTTTACTTACACTTACATTTAAATTCTTGCATACAATATTATTTACATCTCAAAGATAGTCGAATCCATGGCGTACGTAATTATATACATGCCTTTATACTGTCCGAAAGGCGTGGACTTTAGATCAACAAATTTAAACAAACACACAGGCAAACAGGCAAACTTACAAACAAACAAATTATCGAGAGGAATGGGAATGCACTTCGCTAATATGATTGAACAAGAACTAATATTCCTCTTAAATACGAGATCATGATAATTATGGACAAACGTTTTTTTTGTCACCGTGATCAGCATTATATATTGAAATTTCACCGAAGTCCATTAAATGTTAATTCAATCTGAAATAGCTATTCTAACATAAACATTTCCCACCATCTTTTAACATTTGTTGCTATTCCTATGAGCAGAATAAAGAGTTATTAGTGCTTAAAGTCTGTACCAATTCCATAAGGCAGTCCATATTCTCTATTACCTTTGATTCGGACGACCAATTTTGTTGTCGAAATGATAAACTCATATTCTTCGAATCAATGCGGCAAACATGCTCACTGTGCATTTGCACTTTGAAGTAAAATCAAGTGCGTGTCTGGCATCTCCATGGACTCTACATCAGGCCTCCGTAAAATAAATGATTCTAAAATAACTATTCTCGCTTTTCGCATCCTTGAGCCATCAACCAAATCTCGCCACCGTTCGTCAAAATCCTAAAATCCTCTTCATTATTTTTGTTCTCAAAATATATGATCCTTTACAATGTTCACGTCTAGTAAGACGCATGTATTCTTATTATTTTCTTCTCCCACTATCTTTATACATTTCACTGTTTTTTTAAACAGAGAATACAATAATTCATAAAACATCGCTGAGCAATGTTCATTTCTTACACAAAGTGAAAGTGATTTCTGAATATCAATCACATTCTCACACTTTACAACTCTTTGTATACCTGCTAAATTGCGAAAACTAAAACTATCAGTGACTAGCATCTCAACAGATATTTCTTTGTTCACTATTATCTCAGTGAGTATTAAAACATATAAATGTAACTCCTCCCTTTTCCAGACAGGCTCCATCTAGATGGCCGACATTCGTTCATCTATTTCGAGGACAAGTTCAACCAACTAAATAGGGAATATCGCCATAAAAACATTAATGCATAATAGTGTCCAACTTGTTTCGATATGCATCTGTTTACTTAATGCGCTTCTGGGATGACTGTGGTTAACTTCATTGCTACATTCGGATTTCTTTTCTATCCTTCACTCACTCGCGACTATCGTAAATACTGAACACTGATGCATATCACCAGCAGAACAATCGTCACAGAACCATTTCATCGCTCCAGAGTTTGCGTCAAAAGCGAAAAGTCTTCGGCTTTGGAAACGGACCTGTATACTTTATTCATATATCATTTAGAACAACCTCAAACAAGACTCAATGAAATCCTTAATCAATGCAGATTGTTGTTCTGTTCCAGTTCCATTCCGCGTCCATCCGTTCATGCGACGAAAGTCTTTCACAGATCTGCAGTCCAACCTACATTTCTGGTAAACTTCTCCTAAACTTCTGTCGCATCAGGTCCACTCTCGTGTCGATTTATCAATTCTGCCTTTGACAAGTCCTTATGGAATTGCTTGACCATTCTGGCAAGTACCTTAAAAGCATCGTGTAGTCCTACACCGGTGTTTCCTTGTGTAGGTTGTACATACCAGGGGTGGTTAGGTGATAGTCGTTTTAAGTCCATGATATCGCTGATCTCTGACGCAGTCATTGATCCTGATACAGAAATAAAAAAAGACAGAGAGGAGAAATGTGGGAAGAAGGAAACAGTGAGACAAAGGAAAGAGAGAGAGGGGGAACAGAACATTAATCAAAATATTATCTAAACTGCATTGAGATTAAAACAATTAAAAAATTCAAGTTAACAACATTTCTCTATTCCTCAATCATGACTTTGAGCTCGATCTTTAAGAGTTGTCTGGAAGTTCTAAAAAAATAACTTAAAGACATACAATTTTGATACCTTGATCTCGATTGTTTACTAACCGGCACTGGCGTACTGGTGGGGGAGCTTGGGGGTGCGCCAGCCCCCCCAAATAAAATTGAATTGAACCATGACTTATTTTCAATTCCATATACAAGTGATGTATAAATGTTCGTGATATCACATGATTTTCAACAAAAGGCGCGTTTCTCGATTTCTGTTGCAAACTGACACATTCCCAAATGGCCAGAAAGAGCATAATGTTTTTTATAGTCACTAACAGTAACACTAGTAAAAAAAAAATCCTTTCCAGAAGCATATGCAAATGAATTCAGACAAAAACACGATATAACGAATCGTCTTCTTTCTCTGACAATTTAATGAAACGTGAAAGCTTCCGCGCTTTGCGCGGGCTGGGCGAATATGAATTTAAACAAGGATTAAGAGCAATAGTTTAATGAAATGTCAGAGTTTCCGCGCGAGATGGGCGAAAGTGAATTCAGACAAGGATTAAGAGTCGGAACCGGTACAATTAATCGTCTTTTTTCTCTAGTAATTTAATGAAGTGTCAAAGCTTCCGCGCTTCGCGTGGGAGGGGGAAAACTGAATTCAGACATGGATTAAGGGTAATAATTTATTGAAACGTCAAAGCTTCCGCGCTTCGCGCGAGATTGGCGAAAATGAATTCAGACAAGGATTAAGAGTAATAGTTTAATGAAACGTGAAAGCTTCCGCGCTTCGCGCGGGCTGGGCGAATATGAATTCAGACAAAGATTAAGAGTAATAATTTATTGAAACGTCAAAACTGCCGCGTTTCGCGCGGGAGGGGGGGGGGGGGAATTGGATCCAAACAAGAATTAAGAGTGAAGAACGGTACAATTACGGATCGTCTTCCTTCTCTAATAATTTAATGAAGTGTTAAAGTTTCCGCGCTTTGCGCGGGAGGGGGGAGACTGAAAAATAACTTAGCTCTGGCCCCTGGTTTATAGGGTTAAATTTGTAAACATTTGGACATTGGCATTAATATATTTGTCGGTAATTGGTTGCTAGTTTTGTCGGTAATCGGTGGCCTCTACACCCTCCCCACTCCCCCACTGACAAAGATCTAGCGACGCACCTGATAACGACACAGTTTATACACTCGAGATAATTTGTGCAAGTATTACTGGTGAAATACCGGACCATCGTCTTTGTGCATTGTGCGGCATCAAAGCATATATACAACGTCGCAAGACGTGAAAATCACTTTTCTCCAACTTCTAACAAATCAGAAGTCTTCGTTTTTTTCTAGGAAGTGCCGGTGGACATTAATGCGCCAAATGTGGTTCTCAAATTGCAAAAGATCCCTACTCTTGGAAGGGGTCGGAGAAAGCAATTTTACGTCATATTACTCGAGGAAGTGTCTGAAAATGCGTCTAATTTGGTTCTAAATTTGCAAATGCTTCTTACTCTGGGAAGGGGCCACAACCCCCTCCCAGACCCACCCCCGCGTGGTCGCTCGGCTCCCTCGCCGCTAAAGCCTCGTTCTGTCGCTTCATTGTTTTACATATATTTAACCCAATGCCATTTTTGTGCCCCCCCCCCCCCCCCGGTAAGAAATTCCTGGATCCGCCACTGATGCCCCTACCCCTTGAGCTTCGGTGGCTCCTCCCCTTGACCCCCGCAGGGGCTTTGCCCCCTAGACCCCACTTTGCGAAACGTTCAGCGGGGCCTGCATGTTAGAGTGGGGGTGCTGCGGATTTTTTTTGTCAGCCCCCCCAAACGTTTTTGCTCATTACGCCACTGCTAACCGGGATAGGAGGGTGAAGGGGCGGGATGGGAGCAATGAAGGTGGCATATATCGGGAATATACCTTGAAGATTTCGCTCTAATTTATAGGAATATCGCTGGTATACTTACAGATACATACAGAAACCGATAATGAGGCATCCATCCCGTTCTTACCTGGACAATCTTGTTTATTTTATAGGACCAATACTGAGTGAGATTAAGGATGGGATTGGGACTGATCGAAGTATCCATATATTTTCTTTCACGAAAGATCTTGTTTACTTGCTATTAAAGACCACCAATGTGATATAAGGGGGGTCTGGTGGAGCTCGGAGGTCTCAATCTGGTTCTGGCCTTTAAAGGGATAGCCTTGAGTTCTGTTGCAGAGGGCCCTACACAAAATTATTTTTTTGGTGAGATAATGAAAAACTGAGTGCCAAATTTGAAAGAACATAATATTTAAATGACAAAATCATCTTTGATTGATCAAAATCGGTTCAGAGACGGCTGAAATATAACGATTTCTAATACTTGTGTACCACCACAAATATTAAGTATTTTGAAAAATTTGAAAAAACCGTTGAAAAAACGAAATAACGCCTTTTACGTCGTATTTTAGCCAATGCCGATGTTGGCTTTTTTGTTGGCATTTTTGTGTAGCTAATATTACGCACAACCAGCCTGCCCATGTATTGTTAATTTTAATTAAATCATTAATTAACGGTCACCATGTTTTTTTGAAAGTGGAGCCGAATTGGTATGATCGTATTGGCTAAATTTTACACAGTTTGGGGTCTAAAATTACCTTCATAGCAATGTTAGGTTCTAAAAGGGCACTAGAAATGTCATAGATAAGAATAAGAGCAATAACCATGCACTTTGAAGGCATTTGCGGTCTGAAAACAGAACTCAACTTTTCCTTTAATGGCAACCTGTTTTAACTGGAAGATCTTGTGTAGTTGCTATAAACAATACTAATATAATGGATGGGGGGATTCTGGTTGAGGTATCTGTCCGATTCTTACCTGGAAGATCTTGTTTATTTGCCAGAACAAGCACTGGGATGCCTGGTGTCATGTATGGGTTAGTTAGCGCCCTCAACAGTTCATCTCTTGCCTCCCATAGTCTGGCTTTGTCTGCACTGTCAACTACGAAGATCAGACCTATGAATACGGAGAAAATAGATTATAATTTACAACACAAAATTTAGACAATTATATTCGACTTATTTACCAATCAAAATTTTGTTTTGATGGTTTTCTACTTCAATGCCCTTGCAATGGGTAGTTCTGTATTACCAGACAGAAAACTATTACTTAGGCATTGGTAAATAATGAGGAGCTAAGACACTTTTGTTTGAACTTTGCATTTAACATGTTCATTATAATTCGGGAAAAACATATGACGATATGATGCCGAAAATAGTGCAGATATATTATTAAATTTCGATTCTCTTGTCGTTTATTATTTCAAATCTTACTGTATATCATTAAACAAACATTTATGAATAGGGCTGCATACATTAAAAAAACAGTAATAAACGGAGGTGTATGTCTTTGAGCTCTTCAATATGACTTATCTAGTTATGGGAGCTGCAGCGATTATGATCACTATCGTAATTTTGTCTAGTGCATGGTGGTCCAAATTATCGTGATAATATCAAACAAAATCACAATTATATTTAATTGTTTCGTTTCGAATTGTGAGATTATACACGAATGGAAATCTAAACCTCCATTATTTGCCAGATGTGGGGGGAAATAAAATCCGTGGAACTTGATGAAAGACTGGAGTTTTGGATATATAGGGCTATACTACTGATACCAATCAACCGCAATTTGTCTTTTCATCAAATCAAAAGGAAATTTGACCGAATACGAACTTTGTGCAGTGATACATGTAGACAATGTGTGAACGACGGCTTGATATTTTGTTCAGGTACACGGTTTTCAAAGGTTATTTTCGAATACCCTCAACACAGGTAGCTGTAATTTACAAACTTGATGAGTTCCTGTTCATTACCTCTCGAAATAACAAGTGATCAAGGATGAAAAGAGCTGCAGCATATTATTTTCATTTTATTTTGTAAATGAATCTATAAAAACCACATCCGGAGTTGTGGAGCGGCATTCTATTTTGATAATCCTTTGATTTTTTGTTAAAGAATGGCAAACTTCACTTTTACAATTATGATTACTGATTATTCGGAGTCTGAATTTTTGGTTCAGGGTTCGATCCTCGCTCTGTGCATAATAATGATATCCTTTGCCTGTAATTATGTTTTGCCTCAGTTAATCCCTTTCGACCGAGGTGCACTAAATGGCTATCTGACAATACTTGGGTAACAATGATTACAGGGCCTGGAGAAAGACCAATAGTTACTGATGAGGCTACACTGGGTACATACGTCTATATTCTTCTTCTTATTATTATTATTATCAGTATATAGAAGCAGTAGTAGTAGTAGTATTAGTAGTAGTAGTAGTATTAGCAGTAGTAGTAATAGTAGTATTAGTAGTATTATTATTATTATTAGTAGTAGTGGTAGTATAGTAGCAGCAGCAGCAGAAGGAGTACCACAACTATTATTATGCTTAATATACCATCATAATTATTGGTATTGGTAATTCAAGGTCCCTAGTTTACCATTGGGGCCTTCTACTATTTAATACAACTAGCGATGTAGTCTACTTCTGAGTAAATATAAATCAATGTGACTATAATATCCATTCTCCTAAATTTGACAACATGAGGGGGTAATCGAGAATGATTGCAAATACCACAAACGCAGAGGATAAATATCCCAGGGTATGTTGGCCCCCAGTGGGTCGGAAATGTTCGTTTCCATCACTATAGATTGATCATGAAGGCCCATCACAGCAGGCGGAATTAGCCCTTAGTAAGGTCAGATGAGGGTCGTTATCGGTGCAGCCCCCTCCCCATCAATCTCTCTTTTTGTAAACATTATAATTGTTTCATGTTTTATAGAGCCCACAAGTTTAGCAGTATTTCATTCATAATATATAAAATACTGATGGGGCTACTCTGTTTTAAAAATACTGAATAAACAATTAACGTCATGTTCATTTTTGTTTGTTTTTATAATGATCAATAATTTCTTTCATGCGTATTTACTAACTAATGATATCATTATTTTATTTTCATCACTTTAACTTTATAGGCTTATCATATTTTAACATAATATTGACTGATAAATCTTTCTTATTCTTTGTAATATTTATCACATTAATACTTGTTTATTACAATTTCATCCATTTGTACAATTTTTTTCTTTTTTCCTTGTACCCCAATTGAACCTGAATGTATTATAATCTATTCTTTAGAGATCATAGCAATGTACAAGAAGGGTTAAGGTTGGATATAAGCAGAGAGAAAGAGAGGGAAAACTAATCACACTTCTGAAGACAACGGTTGCAACTAGGACAATAAATACCATAGAAAAATAACAATAAATGAATGTCATGTACAGTAGGTGAAATTGAGTGTGTGTCAAAAGATTTTTTGCCGAAAATAATATTCCGCCGTGGGGAAAAGTCAGTGAAAGTTCGATTTTGATGGATGAATCATACCGCAATTATAGGAATAAAAAGTACTGACTGACTCAGCAAAATGTTCAGAAATGTTACACCCAAAATGAACCCCACAAAGGGGCAACTAAAATGCCTAAACTTGACGTCTGGACCCAGGCGAGCCTCTAGTTTCAAACACGAGCATGACTATAATCATTCATTGATGATAGTGATGATGATTTGGAATACAATCCATTTTTTGTTTGTTTAAAGGATCTGAAATATTTTTTTCTTCAAAATAGAATATCAGCTGCAAGTGGGGTTATTAGATAGGCTTTAGAGACACTTGCCCCATTCTTCATAAAAGAGTATAGGAGCAGACAAAAATATCGAATTCCCATTGTATCGGTACAAAAAACGATCAATAAATATTATTGATTAAAAAGAATTGAAAAGTATGGGAAGAAAGATATGAATAAATTATCGCCTACTGATATAGGGTCAAGACCTTTTAGGTATGCAGCTATTATTTTACAAAATCTTATATTCTCTTCGTTTTCCAAAGAATGTTTGCATGGTGGTAATCAAACACAATGGGACAGATGATGGAAGCCCCTAGGAGGACAAATTAGATGACAATGCATAAATTTTACAATTTTCTCCTTCCTAGAAAAGACTTATATTTTCTCAAGGGAGTGTTTTTTGTATCAATAATTCTTGAGGCAGTCTTCAATGACCCCATGTGCTCTCTGATCTCGATTTCGGAAGACCCCGAGAGATAGAAATTTGTCATGCTGATTCTTCAGGTCAAAGGTCACGCGGATGATGAAATGGATGATCACGATGACAATGCACAGACGGAATTTTCCCAGAAAAAAAAAATCAAATCTGCAGAGAGGTAAGGATGTCAAGTTGCTACTGGAAGTGATCTTTAGTGACCCTTGATGCATTATGATCTGGATTCTCTTCGTGGGATTACAGATGCTGATATTCGACTTGACCTTTGACCTATGAATTCATATCCAGCAGGATGCCTCATAATCTGCCAGAAACTTTCACTTCCCATTAAATGAAATTCATTCAAGAATGTCTTTATCAGATGAAAATTGAGGGCAATAACCCTCTGAGAAATGTGAAAGTAAAAAGTAGACATGAGGTCTCGAAATGTAGGGATTATGAAGGCCAATCCTAAAATCTAAAATCAGCATTGTGAAGACAGAAGAACGTCGCCTTATTCACTTTACAGGCTGAGGGGCAAAGATCGGGAGGGGAGCATGGGGGCAGCTGAACCCTATCCCCGTCTTGAGTTACTATATGTCTCGTTTCCCTTGCTGCCCCAATAAATTGCATCACCCTTCTAAAAATGGACCGACGCCCCTACAACGGTGCATCATGCAATCGTATCGTCTAGTCCCATATTGCGTAATCAAGGATAACATAAATTAGGCCTCACATGTAACGTTGAGCCCCTCCCCATCCCTCACGCCACTTCGTCCTGAACAATTACACCACAGCGTCTAATGTAAATTTGACAGCTGACTGAGCTGAGTATGAAACTAATTAAGCAGTGTCGACTCATGCAGGCACTTTTTATTCAGTCTAACAATCACCATGACTCGATATTTATCACACCCATAATAAACAGACTTCGAGACAAAAGATACACCATTTTGAGTGACTGACCTTTGTAAAGACTGCGAGTAACAAGAAAGAAATAAAATCATAATTTGATTTGCTGTTTAAACTAAAGTTTGACAAATAACACGTAACACCTTTGGAAAAAGGGGGAATTTGTCGGTGTATAGGGATACATAACACCAAGGTGATTTAGTTTATAATTTGTACAAAAATTTACAGCTAGTGTCTGAAAAGAAATACTTTTACATGCATCTAAACATTGCATACATTCTAAATGCATTTGCTGTACATGATCTGTATTTGGACGATATGACGTGAACTGTAGAGGAAAGTAAGTGATGATATACTGATATAAGAAGAGCAATCGACAGTAATCAACAATATCTTAAAAGCGGGCAGATAACCTTCGTCATGACTTTACATAAATCACGGTAAATGAATCGTAAAACCTGTGACTGTGCAATCATCGCTTATATTTGTTTTCAAAATAAGTTTCAAAATCATTGACAGTTTGACAAATGTCCTATACATGCATATTCCCGAGAGCTGAGAAAACAGTCAAATACGTTCACTGTTCAAATTTAATTCATTCTTGCACCCCTTTGTTATCATTCAAATTGGTTTTTATTTTGGGATGTTATGAGAACCTTGGGAGCCATCCAAATAGCAGTGCACGAACTTGATATGACGACGACCAAATCAAAATTCTCGAGGATGCAAACAGCCCGCTATGATCTCAGACAGCAAATATTTCCAAATAAATCATAACATTAAAGAGGTAGACCGGTTTATGTCAAGGCTGTTGCAAAAAGTCCGCCGTAAATTTACCGATTCTCTTGTTACAAATATATAGCTGATGAATTCAAGAAATCAAAATTGAGTTTGCAGATCGAATAACGTTATTTTAACCAATATTGTCAAGCAGGGTTAAATGAATATCGCTGTAAGTGGCTGAATAGAACATTCAATGACAAATAATAATAACGAAACATTATAAAGATGACTCAAAGGTAAGGCATGTATTGAAGGCTAATGTTATTGAAAAGCGACCATATTATGTTTAAGAAACTTGTATTGCCTTTAACGTTATAGAATAATGTTGAGGGTCGGTGAAGCAAGTGGTTATAATTATTACTAGTTAAGCTGGCCCAATAACCCCTTTAAAAGGAGAAATGACAGAGACTTGATAGTCACCTGATAGTTAATTATTTGTCTACAGTTGGTCAACACTGGGAAAACGTTCCTCCAAATGATAACATAAACTTGACTCGTATTTCACTACCTGACTACGCTGCATAGTTCCCACGACCTCCTTTAAAGAGGAAGAGTCAAGATGTGGAGAGGGTGTCTGGTTTGGACCGGGGTGCGGAGGGGTGCGGAGAGGACAAATGTGTTGCTATACTATTTTAAAGTGGGTGAGGGTTGGGGTTGAATCAAATTTGTTAAGAAGATAGCCCTCCAAAATCCAAAGAATGACAAAGGGGGTCCTCTAAAATTCAAATTCCAAATTCCAAATTTCAAATTCCAAACTCCAATTTCATATTTCCGACAAGGTTGAAACCGCACACCCTCCCCTACAGCGCCCCCTTCCTGAGCGAGGGAAATATGATATGAATGATAGAAATGAACAGAGACTGGTGGCATAAAAAGATGAGAATTAAATGAAAGATAAGAATTAAATGAAAGAGAAAAGAAAGGGGAAAGATGGAAATATACAACCAGGAAAAAAGACAGGGTGGGAAAATGGCGGGAAAATGGAAAGAGTAAAGATCTCTTCCCTGTGTTTGGAAAAGATTCTCCACTTTCGATTGCCGCGTCTTATCTGTTTGATCTTTTACGAATAGATTCTGTTTGCAAACGGATGAAATAAGTACAAACCGTTTCTCTCCCATGATGTATTTAAGCGGGATACTTGAGAAAATACACGAACATGAACTTGTTCAACACAACGCTAAAAATAACGGGCTGACATAAAGATCAGTACCGCAGGGGGCATGAAAGCCAACACTTAACATTAATTTTATAGCACAATAATGTATTCTTCTCAAAGAATAATATGTTTATTATGACTGTCATCCCTTGGTCTACCAGATAAATGAACACTGTGAATATTTTAGTTACCACAGACAAACAATATCTAAATAATAGGTTGAAACTGTGGCATTGAGTGAACATGGCATTGAACTTGGTTAAAGTTGTATTTTTGTGTGGTTTTACTACCTTGTCGAAATTGTCTGTTCATGATGGGCTGCTATGATATGGCAACTCGGTTCTATGTTTTTAAAATAAAGACTATTATGTTCCTTTGTCACTAATTCTCGTTATGTCGCATTGGCAAACGTATCCATTGTTATATCAGTAAAGATAACCTCCTTTACCTATTTGTCATCTGTCTAAGAATGTTTTGGGGATGAAGTCAATTCAAATAATTGGTCATTTGCTGAAACCGATAAGAATGTTGTCCGAGAGACTCGTACAAAGTACAACAGTTGGGACCATTATTGTACACATTTACCCTTTTAACTGAACTCCAATCGCTAGACTATACTTTAATGGCTTTGCCTTTGATAATTTGTCACTTCGGCGTGGCAAGAACATAGTAACCGAGAGGTTGGAATTTAGCTTTGAATAGTTATGCTAGAGACCAGATCATTGTAGTTGACCTTAGTTATTTGAAACAAAGAGCGAAAAGGAGAGAACAGTACAAAATATGAACATTTGAAGAAGAAAAAAAGTAAACAAAAATATCCTTACCGTGTGTTTCGCAGAAGTAGTGTTGCCATAGAGCTCGTACTTTCTGTTGCCCACCGACATCCCAAACGCACAATGTAACGTTAGGGACTGGTGTCACTGTCTCTACGTTGAAACCTATCGTAGGAATAGTTGTGACAGCCTCGTTAAACTTCACCCGGTATAATATTGTTGTTTTACCTGTCAAAGAACAAAAATGAAAATAAAATCAACAATATTAACAATATCACTTTACAAGAAGTTATTGATAATGTTCAAATGCTATAGTATGTCCTCTATTTTGTATTACGTCTTATTTCTTGACTATTGTGTGTGTCATTCTCAGATTGTTTTGATTTATCAAAATAAAAGCATATTCACTCAATAGATCTCATTTTCTGTCAAGGAATGGAATACATGACAGCAAATGAGCCGTTTTCCACAAATTATATAAAAAGAAAGCTGTTATAACAATGACAATAATAAAACAATAATTTTATCACTGGCAAAAACGATGAAACTCCGCCTTCGGCAAAAAAAAAGTATAGCCTCCTTGGCGGGGAATCGAACCCCGGTCTTCCGCGTGACAGGCGGAGATACTCACCACTATACTACCAAGGAATCGGCTGACAATATGGCAATAATTGCGGTTGACTAAATCTAACAACTGTGTTCCGGTATGATAATAATACACATCTTTTATCTCATTGCTTTGAATTAGGATACAATCCATGAATCCACATCCGATAGGATCATTTATACCAGTCTAACTCTCCTAGTGTAAATACATAGCAGGCCTGTTAGAACTGATATCGGTTGTATGATGAAATGCATTGATAAAAATGGCTTTATCTTCAAAATAGGAACTTATACAGGTTCGTTCCTTTTTAATGGAAAATGATGCATTCAACGGGACCAAAGAAATGAAATAGCCGTAAACTAAAATTGTTGCTAAATTAGGTAAAATACGAAGGCTTTATATTATCAGAATTGTTTAATAAAATAGTCACCAAAATTAATGAGTTTCAAATTGTTTTTCAGCTCGGTTTTACTTTCACATTAAATTTTGAGGATAAATAATTCATGTTGATATTTTTTTTACATTGTTGTTGATTATGAAAATAAATGTATCCTAAAAATCCTGCATAATTGTAAAAAGAAGGATTTTCACATTCTTAATTAAGAAACAATTATGTCAAGCAATGTATTCATCCGTCCTGGACTTATACATAATACCAAAGACTGCACAAAACAAGTGCAGCTGCGCATTTTACACAAATTATTGAAATAAAATATCGACTTTCCACTTATATTTATGTCTATTCCTTGGTAGTATAGTGGTGAGTATCTCCGGCCGTCACGCGGAAGACCGGGGTTCGATTCCCCGCCAAGGAGTCTTTAAATTTTTCGACAAAAATATATTTATTATAATAGACTTATGACAAAAAGTGACCATTATAGCTCTGTTATGTTGTAAATGTTTTTTATTTCTTCTCGGTGTTACAAACATTTGTTAATCAATCTAAATAGCTACCGATGAAATAACAGTACATAGTACACACAAGCAGTGAGCAGCCATTAACAAAATTTCGACAAAATATATCCAGTTGTAGTATATTATTTCATTTAAGTTGTGTGGCTTTGGTTAATCATAGTGTACAAAATACCCTTTTGCAAACATGCTTATTACGGCATTCCCCGGTGAGAAAAAAGAAATGTTCCCGTTGACTCCAAAGTAATTGGTTATAAATAAAAGGTTACTTTAACTTTATGCCCTTTTATGTGACATTAATCATAGTAGTTCTATACCTCATAATAAACATTTATGTTGTGTTTCTGTTTCGTTTTCGTTTCTTCCTCGCTATAGAACAGAAATGCTCTCGGTTGTTAATTAGCTTCAATAAAGTGTAATTCATTGCGTAAATTAAGGAAGTAGGCTATGTCAATACCATCATTCATAACCATTAAGCATTGGTTACATGAGAATTTGCAACCTGCTACCCAATCAAGAAAATTGTACATCACATTTTAAGTTATAAAATTGTTGTAATGATACTTCTAGTTTTCTTATATATATATCGCTTTAGAGGGATTATTTCCTCACTGCCTCTCTTTCTTCTACATCATCTTTTCCATCCCTTCTCTGTTCCAACTTCTCTCTCTTTCTCTCTCTCTCTCTCTCTCTATCTATATATATATCTCTCTCTCTATCTATATATATATATATATATATATATCTCTCTCATTCTCTCCTCTCTCTTTCCCTCCCTTTTCTTCCTCTTCTGTTTTCTTTTATCTTTATATCTCTTTATTACTTGCTATATCTATCTTGGAGCTAAACAGCTCTGGATAATAAATTAATAACTCTATTGACAAAGGAATATTTTTTTACTTCATATTTTTTTGTTTATTAATGATTAAACCGGAGATGAGGAAGCATACGATTTAAAGGGAAAGCCCGCGCTATATTATACGTAATGCGTTGTAATTGTGTTCTTGTTCTTAATATTCTCCTTCTTTTCGTTGTAAGGATTGGCTTTTTAGAAAATAGAACAACTCTGTCATTGTTTCAAACTAAAAATATATCAAATGAGAAAACTACCGAAATGTTTTACAGGGTTTCTTTGTTATAATGCAGAGATATTGCTCCAAGGATGCGAAATTTGACACGTTACTATACACACAATAGACGTTTAAAGGTACTATGTCCCATAATTTATGCATGCCAAAAAAATGAAAATGTTAAATTTCAACTGCATTTGAAAGATAATACTAATTTAGAACTTCCCTAAAAAAGGTGGGGCTTGAAAATGTCTTCAAGTGGGAAAATAATGACTATTAGTTGTCAAATCGACTTTAGGGCTATAGAGCCCAAAAGTAATAGTCTTGATTTTCAGACAATTGTACTGAATGGTCATACGTTTTATGCTGCGCAAAGATTCAATCAGTTTAATTTTGGCCATCACAAGAAGTGGGTTATTGATGTAGACAAATGCTCATGTACCCTTTACAACTCTTTTCATGTATGTTATTACCAAAGAAGAAAAAAAGCCAGTCAGTCACTCAATACTGTCTGACAGTGAAGTCTAGCAAGTAAACGGGTTTCCTTGCATAATTTGAATATGAGGACACTGCTAACGTTTAAATTTCACAGATAGGACATACATGACATATTCATAATTCCTGCAAAGTTATACAGCATTTGAGGTTGGCTGCAAAAGGGACATAGTACCTTTAAAGAAAATACTAAATGGAATTTACATAAAATTGTAGTTAATAACGTACACTTCTTAGTTGTCTGCGATTTCGATAATGAAAGGCATGCAGTGATTCAACATTTTGTTCTCTTGTTATTGCATCAGACGTGATACCATTTCATGCAACACGGTCGTCTGCTCCTTACATTAAAGCACTTTTTTCGCGCCTAAATGGCCTTTACAGACACCTCGAGCGTGACTTTGAAAACAGACGGCAGCTTCTGATGACAAGTTCAAAGGTCGGATACCTTAAACAGTCGCTTACCACTAATGTAACTTCCTAAAATAATGTATGCGGCAGAATTTAGGCAGTGATATTCAACATCTGGGATGTCAGTCATTTTGTCCAATGTGAACTCTAAAAGTTGATGATCAACTTTTAGTTAGTTCGGTTGTATATCTTCTATTCTAAATCGTTATTGCGACTTACAATTCAAAGCAAAACACAAGTCATGTACATTAAGTAGTATATCTTTGCAGGGATTCATCTCTAAGTTTAAAATGTTTCATCATCAACAACAACAAATTACTGCATGTCAGTAACATTATTCAACTGTGGCGTCGATAGAAGAAAATTGTATTACTGTTGTGTCAGTTTGTATTATAATATTCGTATATAAATTATTACATTACTGTGTTTCGACGCTATGGCAATTTAGTATGAAGTAAAGTGGATTTACTAAAAGTGCGGCGTATACGATACTACACAGAATATCATTGGACATTACATTTTGTATGAAGTCAAATAAAGGTCAAAATGAAGATACAAAATCTAGAGTGATAGAGGGGTGTGCCATAGTAGATCCAAACGAGTGTAAGAGAGAGAGAGAGATAGAGAGGGGAGCAACGACATGTCGTGACAGACATAGAAACACAGAGAGAGTCAGACAGTCACTAGAGATGTGTTATTATTGATCTGAGGGAGAGAGAGAGAGAGAGATGGAGAGACAGAGAGACAGAGAGACAGAGAGACAGACAAAGGGAGACAGAGGAAGAGATGGAGAGAGAGAATAATAATAATAATAATAATAATAATAGCCTAATAGTCCACTCCAAATTTTATTAAACCGAAACGGAAATTCTTTTTGCCCAATTGATCGTGAGCCCGGCAGCCACTGAGCAGCGCCAGATCGACGTTGCTCTATCCCTTATTGTTGAACGCCAAACAAGGTAGCAACAACTCCCATCTTTTAACGTCTTTTGGTATGACGCGGCCGGGGTTCGAACCCACGACCTCCCGGTTGTGTGGCGGACGCTCTACTGACTGAGCCAACACTAGAAAGGAATTGAGTAAAGATGACAAAGTAGGAAGAGGGCGAAGGAAGTAGAATTGAACTTGGAATTATATAAGGGAAAAATAGAGAGAGAAACAAGGATGGGCAGACAGACAGACAGAGCGAAAGAGGGGGTGGATGCCTTGGTAATAGAGAGTAATGATGTTTCCATGTGATTACATATCTGTGTCAATAAACATAATGATGTCGGAAAGGAAGTAATTGACCATGTCTGGCCTTGGTCGAGTATGTTAAGGTCATTACATAGTCATTCGCTCTTACATCATCTCATTACCAATGATCATGTTAGACGGCGGATGCCATCTATATCCACAAGATGAACTTGACGCGATATGCTTTTTGTCGACTAACTCCGACTTAGTGCTGAATGCATTTTACATCCCGCGCTATTTTAGAAACCTCATTTGTAGGAGTGATTAGATTGGATTGAATGTTGCTAGTTATCCAGAAGATTTCTTTATCTTTATCGTATCAAGATATGCTAGAAGTTATGATAAAAATTTAATATAAATACACTGTTGCCCTTAAGGTAGGAATCATTTTTATAACCTCTTTTCAGGAAATGATTATGACAATAAATATTTGATAGATATAGATTATAATATCTAAAAGTATAATTTCTAAAGGCTGCATAGATTGACCGATTCTG